ATGCCTTTTATTAAAAACCAACAACAAGCTCCCCAGAAGATACTACTGAAATGATAAACGAATATTCTGTTTACCAGAACTTACATTTTCATTGAAATAAAATTTCAACATACAATTCACTAATGCCCTCAAATATCCTTCAGAAACACCATCAAAAATTCCAGCAAGTTTCTCATTAAATTGCCATTGCTTTGTCTCCTCAGCATTTCTTTTCAGGGCCATTTTCCAATGACAGTTGGGGTGTTTGGTTGGCTTTGTTTTATTTCAACCAACTCAAGCAATAATCTATTACATGACCCTCAGGGACGCTACTGTAGGGTATTTGCTTGGGAGAATCAAGTTGAAAGAGGAAGTCCACCTTAGAAAAGATTCCAGATACACAGCTCTTGCTGAGCAATAATAGCTTCCCCAGCCCAGGACATCCAGGGCACAGCAAGGAGAAAGACAATATTAACGAATTAGGTCAATATAGTAGAGCAGAAATCAAGATGTTCTTAATTCTCTTAGATTAATTTCATTTTGGGAGCTGATCAGTTCATCTTTCCACTGAAAGAAGAATGAGCACCAATGCTTTTGTGGTTCAGAACATGGAAAGGCGTGACCAAGTGGCAATAAGTATTAATTTTTTGTTTTTTTTTTTTTTTTTTTTCTTTTCTGCTAAAGGTGCTTCTGTGAGTTCAGTTCTTACTGGAATAGATTTGGCTCAAGAAATGGATGAGGGTGTTGGTGGTATTTTTTAAAGTAAATATTATGTAAGGTTTTTCAGGGAAACTGTGGGACACATTCTCAGCTTAGAGCTGCGCGTAGACTAGTCCTCCCCTCCCCACCTGAGCACTGATAATTTCTGCTTGCTTCTCTGACATCGCGGAAATGAAAAACAGGCAGAAACGTGCTGGTCTGTATTGATAGGAATGGGGTTTTTTGTTGGTAAGGGATCTTCAATGATGTATGCAGTTAGTCTTCTACCAGCTTCCCCAGTCTCAGGAAGACTGGTGGAACTTCTGCCGTGACAAGAAATGCTGTTTTTTCCCATACTGATACCTTCAGTTTCCAAATTTACATCTGCACAAAGTCCAGAGCATTTTTTTGTACCAACACATTTTTCTAGCAACTCTATCTAGGAGATCTAGGATTTTCTGTTAAAAGCTGATATTTCTCATCTGTGAGAATATTTTTGTAGGTCTTTCTCCAGTCTTCAGCAATGTCTTTGTACTGAAACAGGCTCAAGTATGAATGTCATCCTAAAAGTTGGTAGATTAAAAAGGTTTGATTTTTTTTTTTTTTTAATTGCTTTCATCTGTATTCCTTGTCCAAGTCATGAGACCTGGACCTTTAATGTGGATATGAAAAAAAATAATGGGTGCCTGTGTGGGCTGACTGAACCCCAGGGTCTCTGCCTGTGTCATGCCCTGTGGATGAAGGTGAGTGGGTGGATGATTAGACATGGTCATCTCATTGCGAAGGAATTTATCACAATTCTCCCCAAGCTAGCCTCTGTGAAAGAAGCTGACAAGCAGACATTGTCCAGGACATAAAAGATGCCGACACCATGTTGTGGACTGTTCCCATCAGATTTCTGTTATTCTCAGGAGCCTGTGATCCCATCCACCCTAAGTGTCCTCACTGATGGTACTCTCTGCAGGTACTTGGCATCTCTTTCAGTCCAGCTGGCAGGACACCGTGGCTGTAAGGATGGCAGAAAGTCTCAAACAGCTTGACCTGTCTGTCTTTCTCTCAAAGAAAATATTCAAAGTTTTTCAGGAACTGCAACACAGCATGTAGGACCGTGATGCTCACTTGACACCACTGATTTTCAGAAGCTTAGAGAGATAATTCTCAGTTCTGGAACTGCAAAATGGCAGTGCTTCACAACTAAATCCATTCTTGTTTGTTGTGCATTTCTTACTGTGCTGAATTATTCCAGTGAAGGACGAGGACGCCAACTTTGTCCCAGTATTTATTGGGAAGGATTTGGAAACATATGAACAGAATCTTTTCTTGACCTTTGGTATTGAGATAGATACTAATGATTCACACACTGAAGCCAAGGCTCCTTCTGTGAAGGTAGATGTTAGACCTTACAGCAGGAAAAGAGGATATGGCTGCTTTCCTGTTGTTAGTAGTTTTTGTATTCTTTTGGTTTTGTGAACATATTAAAAAGGAAATAGGAAAAAACTATCTCTAAGGAAGCAAAGATCTTCCTTCCTGTTGGGAAAGGAGTCAGCAAGGATGATAAATTCCTTGCCAAGTGAGTCATTTCTTCACTTAAGAGACTTCAAAGCTTTAAAAATTACTTTTTGTACCATGGAGCTTAGCTATGAAATTGCATAGCTAATTAATTGCATAGCGCTCTTAATGGACGAAGCTGATCTGTCCCTTGATGGGAAATGATACACAGAATGATGGCAAGGAAAGAAGTGAGTTTGAGCAAGATGCTGCAATATTACGTCTTCCCAGAATAGCTCTAACAAATACCCTTTTATTGTATTGCATGCTGACAGAAGTGAGAAGCAAGTGTTTAGGATGGCTCAGTGCTTCCAGTGTTAGTTGTCAAATAGTTTACAGGCTAAGTAAATATTTATAGGATAAATATAGGAAAACTAAACTACAATTTTAGATTGACAGTCACATATTTTCTTGAAACACGCCTGGAAATGACGTGACTAAATATAGGACCATTGCGTAGTGTTTCTTTAACAAGCAGGTAGTGAGAGCTTTTATTTAGCACTACCTATTAAAGCTCTTGCCCTGCTGCAGCTGCCTCTTTGGCTCTCACATTCTTCATTTTGAGAAACTGTTATTGAAGACTGCTCGTGGTTCCTGGTCTTGTGAGAGCTGAACAAACATATTTGTCCTACTGCTTGCAACTCATAGGTACAGGGAATTCATTGTACATTAGTGTTGTGCAAATTTCAGATCATGAACTGAGACAACTGGCATGAAAGGGCATTACTGTCTCTTTTTTGAGTATTTGATGGTGTGGTAAGGTGTTCATCATCAGCAGACCAGTTTTTCTAGCACCTGAATCTTCCCAAATGTTATTTATCAGTACTAACTTGATGCTCTAGATCATTAAACACCTAAAAACTAGATGCTGTGGCACATAAGACTGTGTTTGATCTGAGCACTAATTCCTTTTGAAGGCTTTTGATAGTCTTTCAGCCTTAGCTTAGGTGAATGGTCAGCATATTACATGGCCACAAAGCAAAAAACCCACGTTTCACGTTGAATCCACCACAAAGTACTGTGGGTACCATTTTGTGGAAAAAAAAAACCAACTAAAACCCACGCAACATTCAGTATCTTAAAGCTAATAAAACCCCACTGTATCCTTTGAGGTGTCGGTGCCATGAGCCCCAAGCAGAAGGAGGAGTTATGAGATGGTGCCCATGGGAGCTCCTGCCAGAGGGGACGACCGTGACCCACATCGAACAAGCCGGAATATTCTGAAGTTCTTCAAAAACTTCCAAATGCTCAAGCAAGGTTTAATTTAAGCCTTGATAGCTTAAAGGAAAATCAACAATTTACTTTGATCAGAACCAGAGTCCAATTTATTTTATCTGGAGACACTTCCTTTTGAGGAAACTTTTTTAAAGGAAACTTTTTAAAAAGTACTTCAACCCAATCTTACTCAAATTACTCCTTACCAGCTGTTTAGATTTCCAGTAAATGCATCATGGGGATGGGGGAGGGTGTGTGGAATAAAACTGAACAATAAATATGTGATGTGAGCAGCCATAAAGCTGGCCTGGTTAAAAGGGAAAAAGTACCGAATGGACAATGTCTGCTGAAATACTGAAACTGCCTGCCAGCCTGGGAGCTGTGAGCCTGGGAACCAGAAGCATCCTTGAGAAGCACAGCCAGCACCTCTGAAGTGCAGTTGGGTACCCAGAAACCACAGACATCCTGAGATATCTTCAATAAGTGCAAAACCAAGGGACTGTAATGGTAACATTATCTGAAAAGCTGGAAAATAGTCTGGAAAAAGGGGAAAAGATCCTGAGAAAGCAAGAATTGGTAACTACCATTGGCTGTTCCAACTGCAAGAACGGGAAAAGTCCTGAAAAATAAAAATTAGCCTGAGAGAATAGAAATCATCATCTGTTGGCTGTCCCAGGTGAAAGCCAGAAATTAACAGCTCAAAATGGTGCTGTTCTCCACCCTCTTACGTCTCTACGGTATAAAAATGAATGTCTATCCAAAATGGAGCTTCCCTCTCTCCTCTTGTGCTGCACATGCTGGTCCCTTCCCTAAACAGATCTGTCTGAACTTTCTACAAGACCTCGGACCTTTCCTGGGGATGCCTGCCTGACTCCCAACTCTAAGACACGGATCACCTTCGAAGTGACATTCTGCCTGTTGTTGTTCCCTGCCCCTCCCGCCCCCCAGCCCGCGTCTGGGGCTGGGCTGGTTTGTCCTTCCACCCCTGGGGAAGGGGTTGGGCCCCTTCTGAGATCTGTCTAAAAAGTGCTTGGTGCCACATATATACATGCTAGTAACCTATCCTAGGTATATCTGCAGTTACATTATTGCTAACTTTGCTTCACTAGTCATAACTTTGTTGTAACCTGTAATATTATATATATATATATATCTATCTACACTTAATTGTTGCTATTGTTAGGCGTTGCTATAATTGATGGTTGCTATAATTAATTGCTGCTATATCACTGATTGCTGTTATACTATTGCTTGCAGATAATACTTTGCAATAGTTTGATATATGTATTTGCTTTCTCAATCATAGGTATACTTGCTATAGGTGATTTGTGTGGTATTTGTGGTAGTCTGTAATAAAGTAAAGAAAATTAGAGGAGAGAGCCTGCATGCCCTTCTGTATTACAAAATCCTATGACCTACGGTTGCGATCTTTATACACCCATGGGCCGAGTGACCCTTTTAGGTCATGACACCATGTTACAACTTAAGTCACCCAATCCCACCTCTGCAGCACAGGATGCAAAATAGCCAGACAAGAATAAGGAACAACACGCACAGAATTCTCTAATATCAAAATATAGCAATTTATTCAAGACACTGAATATGATCTGTTGATTCTCTCCTTAAAACAAATGAGCTACAATACACAAGGTGAATTTGAAGAAAGTGTGGGTGGGGGAGAAACAAAATAAGGGTTGATGTTGTTTCAACAGAACCTGGGAAATGCTGAAATGAGAACCAAGTCTGGCTGCAAGTCTGACACAGACAATAAAAACTGCAGAAGCCAGAATTCAGAATTTCAGTGAGTGGCTGAAAGAACATTTCTGCAATTGACAAAGAACCACATCTTTTAAAAAGGCAAAAGGAGGAAAAAAAGGAGGAAAAATTAAAAAGGGAAAAAGAAAAAGAAACCCAAAAACAAAGCAGACCCTTACATTTGACAAAGTGCACTTCACTTGGCTCTAAAATTAGCTATTTTTTTCATTTTTTTTTTTTTTAAAACAAATTAAAAGGAAATTTCTAAGATGTAGCATGGGGTTAATGTGTGTATAACCCTGTAAGTCAGGCCCTTTAATGCCCCATAAGGGACCCAGTGTTTTCTACATAAAAGATTCAGTATCCTTCTAGTCCATAGAGTTGAATGGTTTTTCAGAAACTGTTGTGTTTTTTTTTTTTTTTTTTTTTTTTTCTTCAAGGCCAGTTCCAGACAGCCAGCAATGATAAAAATCCAGTAAGCCTCTTGATGGTTTCACAATCCTGTATGGTCACTTAGCTTTTTCTATGTTTCTTTTGTTACAAAGAACTATGAACAACATTATCAAAAAATATTGAAAAAATGAGGTCCGCCGGCCCGTTGCCTCGCACTGTTCCGCTGCCGGGGAGCCGCGGGGAGGCACCGCGAGCCGGGGGACGCCGCCGCGGCAGCGGGGGAAAGAGAGAGCTCCCAGGGGGGCAGACCCACGGGTCCTGGCTTAGGCATCTCTCCCCACTGCCCACCTCCTACAGAAACCAGCTCCTTGGGCTAGGATTAACTTTCACAACTACATCTTCTGCCTTCCTCCATAGCCGCCCCCATTTTAGAAAACCATCTACTATGGCATCTTTGAGGATTTCCCAGTCTTTAGGGTCTCAGGGAGAAGGTGAGTTTTCTTAGCTTCTCACCTACACTGCTCTCAGATCTGATGGTCTGTACAGACAACTCTCTGCACCAGCAGCCTCCCTCACACGTGAGATTTGCAAACCAATTGATTTTCAAATTTTATTTCTCAGCTTCTTACCTCCATGTAGGTGGGCAGAGGACAGTTGGTGTCCTGACACTTTAAAAAAAGGAAAAAAGAAACAGGCATCAAAGACACTGCCGAGTTATCTACCGTAGCTATCCTGGGAACGACCACGAAACACGGGCTATGCACCCAGCCAGTGATGCCACATCACCCAACTCGGATTGAGCGACCTCATCTCTTCGAATCCCGAGGCCTGGCCTATTCAGGTGTCGCTCACGGGTCAGGGGCAAGGCCAGGGCCCCGTCTGCCCTGCCGACCGGGAGCTTCTGCGCCTTGTTCTCACAAATGCCACCCAAAAGCAGCTTAGGGAGTTAACCGTGTACATGCAATGACTGTAATCAAATCATCGACCCAACCGTGCTTTATAAAACCACATTAAAACTTGGCAATCAAATTCAAGTCTCTCTTTGAACAAGTAATTTTTTTTTTTTTTTTTGTTAAAGTAGTGACTTTAAATTAGTAGGTACACGTGATTATTATAAAACAGTGCAAAACTGTCATGTGGTCATCTACAGCCCATGCTCTTGGAGCAGAAAACCAAAACCAACACATAAACACATTTAACACTGAAAATAATCCTTGATAACTTCCAGGGTCCAGTTCTTTGATATAAATTACAAACAAGACTAACTGTCATTAATAACCAAAATCCCACGTAACTGTTTTCACCTTGGGACCGAGTAACCCTCTTAGCAGTTATTTCTTTTCATTCTTTTTTCCTTTCCCAATGTGTATCTTTAAGAAATGCGGTTGAAGCTGGCAGAGGCTAGTTCCGCTGGAAGGACTAAGATACTGTACAGATGTAAGCATAAAGAGAGGAAAACACAGGAGAAAAAAATGATGTGCAGGTTCTGCGATGCCATGATGATGCCACGATGGCAGGTCTTACACCTCCTGTTCGGCACCAGGGCTCTGGTTTTGCTCAGATCAAATCACCACTTCAGCAGCTGTGGTCCCATCAAAGGGAAGGTCCTGTGTTACAGAAATAGCCACTTTGGGCGGGAAGGTACTACCTGATGTTAAGGGGGTTCTCTGCCTGGTTGTTTTTCTCTCCCCTACAAATCCTAGCCTTGCCTGCAGGCTAGAGAGGACGTCTGTTTGACTCAGCCAGTCCTGGGGATTTCTCTAAATAACGGCTCCCGCCTCCCCGAGGTTGCCTTATCGTTTACAGCAATTTAACCTCTGCCTATGCATCCTTCTTTGCATCCATTTGCTCTTGGAGTAATGTCCTCAGCAGGCATCCCTGCAGGTGCCTAGCTTACAGGCAGGAAATCTTGTCCAAAGTGGACAGGGGGTGCTTTGGAAGTCTTTCTTGTCATTCCAATCATTTCACCCACCGTAACTTCATAGTGGTATACCTGTTGTAATATCATTTATGTATCCTTTCCCACGTCCTCACCTAATGGAGAGTTCTAGGCCGTCTTCCGAGCACCGCTCTGAGCACCCCCTCAAGGCTAACCCTGTCGGGGCAGGCAGCGAGCCTCCAAGAGCAGACCCAGAGCTTCCCCCCAGCACAGGCACAGCGGGCAGAAGCAGTTGGTTCAACTGGTCTCAGCAGGTCAGTGGTAAAACCCCCCCTGATTTACTGGGACAGAAACAGCTGAGCGGGACCAAGAGTGGAGGACAGCGCTGCTCAGCAAGGCCACGGGCAGCCAAACCCACGTTCTGTATGAAATCTGAACTGTCTCCAGAGGAGAGAAGACACACAAGCGTTTTCCCCTAGTTACTGAGGATAAACGAAAATATGGACTCAAGAAAATGAATGTTGTATTCATAGTCTCAAACTTGCGAATCCCTTTTAATAAGTGTACTTCATCAAACAGCCACAAAAATGAAATGAGACTGTATAAATGGCTGGCTGCTGGAAGAGGACCCTTAGTAAATGACTGGCATTTATTGTATCAAACGGCATTTCTTCTTACAGCACTGTCAGCGAAGAGAAAAAGGATACTGCACCTTTCATGTTCCTTGAACTCTGTGTCATTCCTTTTGCTTGGATTACACAACTGGTCTACATTTGGTGGCCATTTTAGGCTTTTAAAACTGTTTAACATAAAAAATATTTTTTTTCCAAAAATACACTGGGTTCTTTCTGTTAAAAGTCATCTTTCTCCTGTAAAAATCTTCCCCAGCACTGCATTCTTATATAAAGCACTTATTACACAATTTGCTGAAAGTGCCCTTGAGACGCTAAGATCTGAAGCATGGAGGATTTTTTTTTCTTTTAAACGGAGAGAAAGAAAGGAAAAGGAAGAGAGAGAAGAGAGGAGAAGCAGTCTGTCAAAAATTTTCATTGTCATGTCCACCTGGCTGCATCTACTATGGGCATACAGGGAAAAAAGACCAAAAAAAAAAAAAGGGCAAGAAGAAAGAGGAGAAAAAAAAGGAAGGAGAAGTTGGGAGTGGAAGGGAGAAATAAAAGGAAAACAAAAGTTTCATCCTAAGCCTGGGATCCTCCAGGCTGTAATATTCCAGCTGATAGAAAAACCACTGAACAAAAAAAGTAGTCTAGAAAATAGAAAGTGTTGTGATTACAAAGTTGAGCATTTCATCAGTACAAACTGGTCTTTGAACGTCCTTTGGGAGAGCAACTGTAGTGTCCAAATTGGAAGGAAAAAATACAACACCGCATGGAGGAGGATTTTTTTTTCCCTTTTGGTTTATCACAGCATTTTTTCTTTTTTTTTTTTTTTTTTTTTTTTTTTAATTTTTTTTTTTTTTATTAATTTTTTTGGCACAGCTTTTTTTTCCCAGCCATCAGAGCAAGTTCTCAGACGCAAACCAAACAGTGCAATGCCTAGCTGGTGGCTTCATGCTTCCAAGGCTGAATGTTCCAGGTGGAAACCATTCCCTCCCCCTCTGAAGTGACTGTTTTTACTCCTTGATGAAGGTTACGGACAAAATACTAGACACCTGTGGCCAGGGAGAGTTGGTTTCACGGTACACTCTAACTTTGTTCAAGTTCGTACAGTTCTGGAGCTGTTAAGAATAGTTTTGAAGAGTGCTTCTCCCCACACATTCACTGCTGGTCCATTTGAAATTTCTTCTAAAACATTTCACTTTTACTTCCGCAGATCTAGAACACAAACCTGGAGAGAAAAGACTCAGCATTAAGAACCATTTCTGAAGGGGATGCGGAAGTCCCGCTCCTATACGGCCCCGCACACAGGCCGACCAGCCAGCAGTACGTCGTACTCCCCAGCTTCCAAACAGCCTGGCTCAAGTTCTCGTTCACGTGCACACAAGTGAGGGAACAAACCAACAGGGGAGAAAACCCAGGTGAAAAATCATACGTTAAACATTTAGCTGGGCCTTCATCGGATTACAGACATTTTGGTGGCACATCCCAGGTAAGACTATGGGCCCTATTTAGTTGCCTAAATACAGTGTCCTGCCTTTCTGAAATATATCCAAAATAGATGCAGGCCTGGGAGGCATAACACAGGACCTGGAGCGGACACGTGCTCATTTGGAACAACTGTTGGAAGCCAGGCATGGCACAGTCTCAAACGGCACAACTAAGCTCAAGGCACTGAACTGTGCTGTAGGTGTACTCTTTGTTAAAATCGGTTGAAAACTACTGCTCTGAAGTAGCTACGCCAGTCAGCCATGTAGAATAGTTATTTTAAAAAGCTGTAGAGTGTGTTAAAACATCTGTGCGTCCTTCACAAGCTGATCATGCTGCAATTGAAAATTTTTAAAAGTAACATAAATAGCAAAAATAGCAATGAATACTCAGTATCTCTACAGCAATATTTCTCCTTCATCACGCAACAAAATCTTTGGGCACCATGCTGAAGAATACCTCCTTTAGGTACTCTTCAAGGGTAAACTTCTGTAGGATAAAACTCAGAAAGCCCCAGGACAACTATTTATTAGAGAGCTGACTACTGTGATCTGACCTTCATTACAGATTGACAGATGTGGTAAACAATGATAGAAACAACACTACTGTTGTTCTTATCAAATATGTATTTAAAAGTCATTCCCAACTTCAACAATATTCACCTATTCCACAAGCATTCTTAATTTCCAATAGGAACACCACCGCCTAGTATTCACAACCTTTCAAAGCAGGCGTGTTTTTAATCTACTACACAGAGATACTTATTTATGTCTTGAGCTGCCTACGCCTTCAGCTCTGTCCATAGGAGGCAATATGTCATGTGTGTTTCTTGTTGACACTCTCCAGAAGAGCGACCTCCACCCAACATTTACAATGTGTAAAGCTCCTTACCGATCCGTCTGATGCGCTTGCTCCCACTTTGTCTCCTCTAGCGTTCCAGCAGACTTCAAAGATGCCCCCGGTGCCTCGGTAGCTATGTACTAGAGTTCCACTCTACAAAGCAAAACAGCATGGAAACATTTGATACAGAAACTCCCCTTCTTTTTCTCTGTCATGTGGCAGTACATTAAAAAAGAAGAGAGTGGTGGCGAGGGGGGAGCTATTCACATCACCCCCAGCTATGGTCATCTCCATAAGGTGCTGAAGTTAGGAAACTGGTCTTTTATAATGAAACAGGCTCCTCCAGGAATGAATTTACAGTAGGACTCTTAGACATCTGTTTTTGTCAACTCTGTAACAGTAAAGGCCTGGGGAGTTAGGCTGAGGTGGTCTTCTCTAAAGCTTGTTGTTAATTCAGGCTGTGAGGCATCAGTATCCAGAATTAAATCTGTGGAACTACGATGTCCCACTTTTCTCCATAATATCCTCAGTCCCTGGTCTGTACACCCTTTGCATCTATTATCCCCTCATCACAAAGTATAATCCAGGTGCATCAGACTCATAGATGAGCTGAGCTTGTTACTGAATAAAAGTATCCCTTATTTCTAAGAATCAATTCACACTTTTGTTTCACAAAGCTGACAGCACTACGTAACGTACCTATTTTAATGTATGGTGGGTGTTTTAGCATACAAAGAAGCCCTAGTAGAAACGGTCTGGATGGTCACTTCCCTCCACCTGAGTGACTTAACTGTTACGCTGGGATTTGTGTCAGCCAATATAACCAGGTTCACCTTGGCTGGCAGGTCATACGCTACAGAGGTACTTCTATTTTCCGTTTAAGCTTTTGCTATTAATGTGTCATGTAAATCAGATGTGCTGCACATGAAGCAAAACAGTACCTGAGTATTCCATATATGGACACATTTGTCAAAGGACCCACTGGCTAGATATTTTCCATCAGGACTAAAAGCTACACTGTAGACAGGCTCTTGATGTTTTGTTAACGTATGGATGCAGACTCCTCGGTCAACGTCCCACAGCCGAACAGTGGAATCAAATGAAGCACTGCAAGAAGCATTCAAACACAAGGATGTCTTAATTTGGGCGTTAATCAATTTGTAGTTCGATACTGTAAACAGTTTAAGAGATTAACACAGTTTTTTTTTCCCCTTAGCTAAGCAAGAAATAATGTTTCGAACAGAAAAGCTAATATGCACTACAGCCCTTATGCTTTTATGACAAGAACTATATATACAGAACTGAATTATTGCATGAGGATCCTTTGAGTTTATCTAGGTGTACTGTATATAGGATCAGATCACTAGCCCTAAGAGGGCCATGCTCCCTCCTTTTGACATTCTACCTGCTAATATTCAGGAAGATCAAAAATACATTGTCATTAATAAGATAAATGGTTCCAGAGAGACCTTATTCCTAATGGATTTGCAATATTTAATGCATTAGCATTCTTTAATTCTGTAGAACAATGTTTTTTTTCACTTTGTTTCAATGTTATTTTTTGCTACACTCCACCTAAATCCCAAACTGTGGACTTAGAGAAAGGCAAAGGAATAATTGGTATTAAAAATAATGTTAGAAGAACAACTTCAAGAAAGTGAAGTTGTTCCCTGTCCGCTCCCAGACTAAGGAGTAAAATAAATAAAACAGTTTCAATACAACTCCACCCCAAACTGAATACACCATGAACTAATTTGATAATCCCACGGTACTACCATCAGTTGGCATTCTACAAGTAAACTTACTTCCTGAACTCAAAGAAGAATTTAACAGATTTTCAAGTGGAATTTTAGAGATTATCCAAGCTTTTCTGTGTTAGTTAACAAGGCTATAAAGACTCTCAGTATCTGCCCAGGTGAGCTGCGTGACCCTGGTCAGAACACATTCCAACTGGCTGAATGGGCTGCCATCTGCCTCGTCAAGTACATTCATTCTTAACAACTGGATACTGATGTGAAGGTGCAGTGCCAAATTTACAGTCCTTTTATCAAGGCAGCTGCAAAGTTGAATATCATATGACTCGATTTCCCTTCTTTTTCTTTTTCCTTTTTCAAATACGATTCCTTTCCCTTTGTATCCACCCCCCTGATGTACAAACACTCGTACTTTTTACTGGAATCGTCTGCAGGAAGAAAGACTGACGGCAAGGTGACAGTAGTGTTATGTGTCAGAAAGACGATCTTTCTACTTGGTAGACAACAGAAAGAGGTGTGTTTTTTACCTTGCTAACATGATGTTGGAGTTTGGGTTGCTGGTGCCTGGTCCTGTAGGACTCCATTTGATAGTATAAATCTCTTTGCTGTGAGCTTGAAGATCATGTACACAGGTATCTTGCTTCATACTCCAAATCTAAGTCAGAGTAATAATGAAGGGGAAAAATGGCAACATTAGTAATCTCTTCTCAGCTGAATTATTTCAGTTCTATGTTATCCTTACCATTTATTTTTTTAAGATCTTGACACACGTGCATACACATAAACATAATTAATTAATGCAGCAGTTTGGCACACACATTAGAACAACCCCATCGGGGAAAAAGCTACACATTTAATAGTATTTATTCAAGAGATAAGAAGAGCTAAATAGTTGCAGTACTGTCCATAGCCTGTAACTGTATTTTCATACAGAAGCTTTAGTTACTCTATTTAGAGTTTAACTTGAAGTCTGTCACACATTGCAACAGCAGTCATTTTAAAGAATGAAAATAAAGTTTCAAAAACTGCTTAGAACCTAGCAATTTTCTCTTATGCCAGTCAAATCTTCCTTTTCCTCCTGGACTCCATTTGTTTTCCTCATGTTTTTAACAGCACAGATGATGGAAGGCAATCAGCTATTTATTTAGTGTTACATGGACAAATACTTCAGTGTGAGATAAAGAATATGCTCAACAGAGATGACAGGTAATTTAGTACATCTTCTCTTCATCTAACTTGAGAAAATAAGATGAAGCTAATTCACAGCAGTGGAAATAACTCAAATTTGCTCAGTCAGTTTCAGAGAGATACAAAAAATGTAGTAATGATTTAACTCACTTGTTATAAGTCCATACTATGAGGGAAATTATGTGCTCTTATGCTGAATTTTCATCAGCATACCCAAGTCTGCTTTTGGAAATGTTACACAAAGCTTAGCCACGTTCTATGGCTAACGGGCAAGATGTTCCAGTAAGTTGTAGGAAAATATCAAGAACTCCAAAAAAAGAGATGAAAAAGAAGCCAAAGAGGACTGATTTCCAAAGGAAAAGGAAGAAGAAGAATAATTGCCTGAAGAGGATTTGCAGTCTCCATCAGTGAAAGTTTTTAAAAGCAGGCAAGGCTGGGGATAGCAAACCACTAGCACTTGTGCCAAATTCAGTGGTCAGAAATTTGAACCGGTACCAACAACACTGAACCACAGTGGTTTTTAAAACACAGCACGCAACCCGGCACCAAAAAACTGTGTAACCACTGGGTCAGAATGTTTAAGGAGAGGATTAATGGTTACTACAATACTGCTTTGTGGCAGCATAATAGACAAGGTGCTCTCTTTCACTCTCTTCTAGCCCTGTTTTCTGTAAATTGCGAGTTCTGTGAGTAGTCTGCAAGAATACATCTAGAGTCCAGAGCGATGAAAACCCCAGTGGGTATGTGGCAAAGACCGAGTAGAATTGAGCAGAAGTCAGGCTACCTGTGAAGAGGAGACATTCACAATTCTGACGTTCACTTAGCTCTCATCTACAAGCTCTGCCGCTCTCTCAGTTTCTGTTCTTACAAACAGGCTGAGTGCACGCTAGAAATGTCTCTTGCTTCAGCTGTGTCCATCAGCAGTGGAAAGAGGTATGAGCCTTAATTAACACAACTATACTATGAGGAAAGGGTATTACTAGTACAATTCTGTGCACAAAACCAAATCCTTCCTGGGATGTTTGCTCTGCTCAAGGAACCAGCACGAATCAACAGTCTGGCAGGAAAGCGTTGCTGCCACAACATACAGCTGTTCCCACATAGACACAAGCTTCATCCAGTGTGGCTGGGAAAGGAGAACGAGAGGAGTTTGGGCTGGAAAAGCTCTATTGTGAAAAATATTTCTGCAAGCTCAGACCCCCCGCTGTATTCGCAATACTGTGCTGGTACAGCGCCACGGCCCAGGTGTGATGGCAAAGCAGCCTGCAATGCCTGCGAGACAGAATCCAGACTCATTTCATCCAGCTTAGGCACCTGACAGGGGCATGGACGTGAATGGATAAGGACGGGCATCTTCAGAGAGAAAATCAGATTTTTGTTGGGCTCTGGATATGTATGCTGTGTCCCACTGCTTAGACCAAAGCTATTAAAAAAAAAATACATCAAATGGCTCCAATTAAATGATTTTCAGAAAAAAGACCCCAAAGGGAAAGAAACCCCTTTATTTTTATATTCTTTAGAGTATGTAACCAGTAGACTGCTTCTTAGCATAGGGAATGTGCTTCTGTTGACAGGCAAGCAGGTTTATTGATACGTGTGTGTATATATGTGTATATATAAACTGTGACTATTCTGTGACAGTGACATACCAGTCATGTAACACTTATTTGGATAGGATGTCCCAAGTTTTCCCAGTGGCTGCTTCTCTGTGTTCAATCTTTCAGACTGGGACAAAATGAACCTTTCATATGGGACAAAATGAAACTGTTTCTCATGCAGACTTTTAAGTGCCACAGCACCATCATTCTGGAGGAGATTAAAAAATAGACATAATTTTTGTCTTTACTTTTTGAACAGGAATGGAAATTATATTACCTTTAATGTCATATCATCGGAGCAAGAGGCTAGTAGCATGCCAGATGGGTCCCATTTGATTGCGTTAACCTCGTTCTGAAATAAAGAATGATTTTATGAAGTAAATGTTCCTGCTACCTGCACTGTGCTGGGCACCCAGCAGAGGGCACTCACGGCTTATGCATGCAACAAGTTCAGCCACAAATTACAGCCCTGGTTGCTCCATGGGTGAAAAAAAGCAGAGCTGCTTCCCTAACATGCTATTTAAATTTCATTTAGGAACGGTAACCATTTTGTGTTTGTGAACAATTCACACCATCAGTCTTCTGATATGTGTTCTGCCACAAAGTCTCTAATACCCTTTCTTCACATGCTATAATTTAAATAAACCCTCAAACCAGACAGATTGATGATACAGCATTAACTTCTTAAAACTGAGATATTTCTTCAGTCAATATTCTGTAGATCTTGGAGATCCAAATTTTCAGTAGAAAATACTGGTTTGGTGTAAAGGTGCAAAGTTTATAATTCTTAGTATTGCAGCTTTACAACAATGCTAGTCTCTCTAAAGAGAGGTGTATTACGTAAACAAAATCCAGGATGGAATACTGAATAGTTTACAATGCTTTCTCTATCGATCTTTCTAGCACTTTGTAATTAACTTAGCCTAGTGTATCCCCTTGGTAATCAGTAAGTTCCCTGTGTTTTTTTGAGGGTCATACATATGGAGAAAAAAGCATTTAATAAAAAGGGATTGTTTTCTAAAAACATAAATTGGCTCAGGGTCTCAGTGAAAATAATCCTGGAAAATATTGAAATTTTGCTTTATCCATTTTACATGCTTCAGACATTATTAGAAGAAACTGTACAGATATTTGAAGTAAAAATTTGGATCATGTGCAAAATGGTGCATTTCACATAATCATAAAAAGCACCAGTCTGCTGGTAGGAATGTACAACCTGTCATGAAGTATCAGTTTAACCACAAACTAGATAAAGGTCTCCAAATGTAAAATTTTTCCTCAGTGGGGAGGTAGCAATTCTGGAAGTTAATATCTAAGTTACAGGTCACTATATGGCAGCAGTTTTCTCATGAATAAAAGCTTTAAAAACTAGCCTTTGACAGTCATTAAATACCATCAGGAGAAGAGGAGGCAAATACATCTTAAACAGATATTAGATTAAATTGATTCTAAAACTGAACAATGTCTCAAGGTAAATTGTTCTCTCCTTATTCATAGTTCTCATTTACTAGAGGAAACCAAGCCACTGGAAAACAAAATCTTATTTATTAATGTACCCTTAGTCTACAGCTCATGCTACATATAAATAGTCTCACTGTTTAAGCTGCAGGTTTTGCCTCCTACAGTGATTTAGAACAGTTTATCCCTTCTCACAGGCAGTGAATCACTCCCAAGGAATATGGTTTTAGGGAAGCAATGGGATGTAACACCTTTGGTGCTAGAACACACTCTGCAAACACATCATCTGCCATCATCCTAACATGCTGCCGTGACTTTATCACTAACATTTTGGGCTTCTTAAACTTACTGTGTGTCCTTGAAAGGTTTTAACGGGACGATCACAGCCAAGTCTGCATACGTGAATGCACATGTCAGTGCTGCAAGAGGCAAAAGTAGTGTTGTTCTGCCAGTCTACATCCAGAGCAGGAGCTGTGAAGTACAAACAACAGGGAACATCAGGGAACACAGCAAAGAAACAGCCATCCCAAATCATTCCCCTCCTGTCATCTATCTGGATCAGACTAAACGCTAGTTCTTGGCCTGTCACCCACTACCAGTTACAGGGATGATAGGGACTGTCTGAAAGGCACAAATTATTTTTTTTTCTTGCCGTGGATAATCTGGATGCTTTGCATGGCATCTGTTTATGAAAATCTTTTGGGTTCAGTTACAGAGGGGGCAGAACAATCTTCCTCCAACCTCCCTGCTCCCAGCTACACATGTCTCTTGGGCCATGTCTACCATTCACTGCTCTGTAAGCCAGTTCAGCAAAGAACCTGTAAGAAAACTAATCAAGAAAAAACATGTTTTTTTCAGATGGGTTACAGAAAATGTTCCTGTGAATGCCAGACAACACATGGGAGGGAAAAGCAGCAGGTGGCCATCTTCCTTTGCACCAGCTTTATGCAACCACTGACACAAACCTATTGCTCTGTGCAGACACGTGGATTAATAATACCTACATCCAGTTTAATTTGGCTGGGGATTGATTTAAGATAGGTACATTGATCAAGCTGATCTGAAATGAGAGGAAGAGTTTCTGTAGAGGGTTTGGCATTAGCTAGGGCTGAACTAATGAAACTTTGTACACAGATAGCACATGAACACATAACTAGTGCCTGTGTACAACACACACACTTCTCAAAAAGTATGGAAAAAACAAAAAAAGGCTTTTTTATACCATGTCACTGCAGACTAAAAGCATGCACAGGAGTAGGAGGGAATGACATACAGCTTGCTTGTTTTTCTAGGACTGCTGCTTGTTTTTTTTCTCAGGAAAGAGTTTAGCTGCCCTCCAGAGGATGACATAAGACTTGCTAAAATATAGAAATCTTCATTCTCAGCACACTCCTGTGAGAAGCAAGTGTGTCAAAACAAGACCAGCATATAGGAAGCAAAGTTGCGTCTTTTTCTGCTAACAATACAATGCAAGTTTATCATTAAAATGAAACCAAGAAATGCCCTATTCAAATATGTTCAGAATAATACTTTTGTAATACAGAGGTGAAAAGATACCTGTTTTGCTAAGCCTACTATATGTAAATGTATTTTCCTGTTACAATTTTTATAAACTGCAAAATGAGATTGATCCACGTCATCTTCCGAATCATCAGGTAGAGTGGAAGGCTGAAATTGCTTCCGATACAAGTATTTTTTAGAATATTAATGAAAAAGCTCAATAATTCTGTGTGACAGGTAAGGAATGTCTACATTGCAGAAATATAAACAACATTTGTGTGAGGAAGGCAGGCTACTTCTGAGTTTTCCAATGAACATGAATGGGGATTAGGAAACAGTGAAGGATTTAGTTTCTTTTACTGCCTGTTTGCCTTTCTTTTTATGCTGCAAGCTTTGTATTACTGTTTCAGAGCAAACAAAAATCTATCTTCATTAATAGCAATATGCCTTAAGGGCTAATATCCACTGTGATATGTATGAGTTAAAAAGTAATTTTCTGAGAGCTATTGGCACCTGAAGGGATGGATTTGCATTGCAGCATAATTTGAATCATAGAGTGTTGATAATTAATACTGATTCATTTATTGGTGTGTTTAATCATACGTTTACTGGATAAGTAACTACATAAAATGATCTGGAAAAAACAACCAAACGTGTTTTTTGATGCAAGTAATTGAATTGCCAAAGTGTCTCCAAAACCACAGGATACTAGCCAATTGCATAAAACCAATTAGAATGTCATCTAATAAAAGCAGAAACAAATCCTTAAGAAATGCAGCTAAAAGAAATCCCAACAACAAAAGTGTTACAATAATTATCAGTTAATTTAAGCTTTTTCTGAACAAATTTAGGTGTGATTCAGAATTAGAAGCTCAGAGGAAGATGGAGTTAAGTGTCTGCAGGGAGTGATTCGGAGCACTTCGATGTCTAAAATTGGGTCATACAAATACCTCTTATGGTCTCACTTAAGCAATTTGTTCCTGCCTGCATGGACATCAGTCCACATCTATCAGCAGATGTGAAAATTGGATTATTTCACTCCATTTTAAAGAAATAAGCTTTGTGAATACATACATGGATCAAATGTCCTGTGATGACTCATAGTTTTGCAAAGAATAATGAAACCCTAGAAGCTACTTATCCACATACTTACATATTTTGACCATAAAACCTTAAATTTACATGGGAACATCAGTGATATCGAGGCCTTCAAGACCTAGACAAAGGAGTCTTCCTTATGTGTTTTAAGATGATGGTTTTGTCCATATGGGTGTAAATTAAACAAGCTGTTGTAAAGCAGCTGAGAGTAAAAAATCTATGTTATTCCCAGGCCAACTATCTTCAGACTTCAAAGAGGTATGCAAAGAAGTACGCCACACAGGTATGTGTTAAAGGAACTGTACTCTGTCTAGACTAGAGTTTTAATTGTTAAAATGCTACCTTTAATCCTTGTGTAGACAAGGTTTTCAGATTCCAGATATGGAAAGGAATTTGCTGTTAGTTTGTTCTGGTGAATAAGTGATGCAAAGAGGACAAGGTGAGGTCTTTGTGACTTTAGATTTATGTGAGGACAAAGACTCCAGCTGATTTTAAGGGGCTTTTTGTAGGACATATGCTTTTGGCCTATCAACAATTTCCTTAATAATTAACTGCTTTACTTCCCTATGAAAACATATTTGAAATAATCGGAAAAAACCCCAAAACACAGCCTCTCCACATCTGCACTTCAGTTGTGTCTTATGGTCCAAAGACAAACAGCATCCATAATAAGAATTTTTTAAAAAATATATTAATGCAGATGGACATCAGCATATTGTATTGAAAGATGTACTTAAGATTTCAACTTGCTAAAAGGGGAATGGAGTGATATGTAATGGATGCATACCACTGCTAAGACAGCTACATGTCGGTGAATGTGATTATGAAGGGGCAACTGAGTTCTGAATCTGCAACTACTCAGATCAGTGGTTATGGATCAGAAGGCTTAAGAGTCTCATTAACTACATCACTATACAGCATGAAGTCTGCTTTTATGGAACAGTTATGATAGATAAATGAATGCCACAGTGAGAAAATCTGTCAGCAGACACTGACTCCTCCAAACTGACAGTTGCATTAATAAGCGAGATGAGTGACAAAAATGCAGAGTATGGCTCTGCTTAGCGCATGCACATACTTCTTGTCTTCTGTTGAATAACCATTTCAATTGCTACTGCATATTAATAACATCTGTGAAAATGTAAGATTGAGAACTAGAAATTGAGTTGAAAAGCATGTGCAAATTAATGTTTTAAAATTAGTAGTAAAATATGTGTTTTTAAACACCATTAAGCACCTTGTGAAAGCCTGCTGTGTTTAAAAATGGCTTAGCTACAGTGAACACACAGGAAGATGAACATTTTGAGCATCACAATCTGGAATGTTTTGCTGCTTTTAAACTCAGTTTAACCACACTCCATAAAAATTCCTCACTATGACAACTTATCCAGTTTGGATCATAGATTCAGTCATCATCTTACAAGTCTAGTCTCAGGTGAATTTAAGATTACGTCAATGTTACTCAAGATTACTTAGCATCTGACATCTCCTGTCTTGTTGAAGCAGATCAGATCTACAAACGACTACTCAAGTAAGGTTTTGGTGCAGAAAGGTTTTGAAACTCAAGGTTGGCAATTGATTTCTGATAATCAGCGAAAGCAAATACTGAAGAACTTCAAGTCAAAATTAAAAGATAAGAAATTCCTGAGGACCTTCATGCTTGCAGTGGTGATGTAAGCTACACGCGAGATCCACCTGCTTCCCTCTCATGTCAGCTTCATTGCAACAGGAACGAAAAGAGTGGAAGAGATCCCACACACCTCCACTGAAAATTCTCTTCAGAAATCACCACTCAGTACTATTCAAGCACATAGATAACAACAGAATCATTCAGCTAGGTAGACATGGCTGGTATATAAACTCTCCTAGAATCAGTTTGACTTTCAAAGCTGATTTTCACAGAACCCCATCTTTCTGAAAAGAATAAACCCACAAGCCATGATACTCAGGACAGTTAAAGCACAAAAAGCTTGGTTCAAACTTCTGTCTGGTAGATAGGTTTTCACAAAAGGATAAATTACATTGAAAAATTTAAAACTGCATTTCATTTTACTAACAAGAGTAATGCAGAAATTACCTGAATGGAAAGGAAACTGCTGTTTAGCTTCTCCTGTGTGAGCATCCCAAATTATTGTTGTCTGCAACCGAAGAAAGGGGGGAAAAAAAAAGATTAGTGACTGTTCAGCTCAGAGAAAACAAAGACAGCACCCTCACTGAGGAGCAATTCTAAAAGATGAACTGATAAAATTATTGATTCAGAGAACCTTGTGTGCTGAACAGCTGAAAAAACAGAAATCACTTTCAAATATTACAAAATCATAATCTAAGTGTAGATAAAGTAGTATCACGCCCACAGAGGATGTAATGTAACTACTAAGAATGGGCATATTCTCTCTGAATAATGCTAGGAGACAGCACAACCACATTTTTAAGAAGCATTTTGTTACAGCTATTTCAGTTACCTTCTTCAAAGAAGACTTTTTCCCCTTTTCAAAGATGCCAGTTGACTTCTACTCCAAAACTATGTGATACTATATTTCTAACAATTAAACCAAGTGAAATGTTTATCTAGCAGCAGAGGACGTAACACTTCTTGCCACTGTGGTGGGACAGACTAAAGTGTAATTTGCTTACTACAGGGTTTAATCCATACTCACAGCACATGTAAGCAACTCCCCTGTAGAGCTCCATACTACCTTTTGAGTGAACTGTCAATTTATTGGGAGTATACGCTTCCAGAAAATAAATTAAGGATGCCTTATCTTGCTGATAATGGAAATTCCATTGAGAGACAAGTGTAGCTGAATATAAGCCAGTATTAAAAGGAATAAAACTCAGTTTCCATTTTCACAAGTATGTGAAAATATAGGGATTCATCTCGCCTACAAATCAGATTGAGCTAGTTTCCTTAGACTCCCTCTGGCAGGTGCTGGAGAGAAGCACTGTCAGTGCATCCCATCACTTGGGATGCAACCCATCACTTGAAAGTGCTATTTTTCTCTCCAAATTTTATAAAGGAAGCCAAGGATGACATACACATTTAATTTTTATACATAGAAAGTTAGGCAAGATGAATGCTGTGTACTTTCCAGTTTAAGTTCTAATAGATTTGTGCTCATCATCACCAGTCATCTGTTCATTCTGATCTCTAATATGCACTCAGCTATAGCTACTATGTTTTGCTTGACTTTAAGTTCAGAACTACCATTTTTTTGTATATTTGCATAGGAATGCATATATATTTATTCAAATAAAAGTGTTTCAATAATTAGATGAGTTAAAAGGTGTAATATCTTTAAGATCACTTCCTTCCTGGAAATAATCAGTTGATAAAACTAGACACATAAGTATCGGAAGCAGTTCTTTCCTTAACTGAGACACATTTAAGATGCAATTTTACAAAGGGGGCAAATGGAGCTGTTTTAAGTAAAATCTTTTACAGAAAATCATACACGTTTATGCAGCCTCAAAAATGTAATCAACACACACTAAAACAAATTAAAGAAAAGTAAACTCTCCAGGATGCCTGGAGGAGAAGAAAATAACCTTATGGAATTCAGCAGCACAAGCTCATGAAGCCAGCACATTTATATGATAGAATAATGTATTTTTAAAACTCACTTTATCAACACCAGCACTTAAAATATAATTCCCCTTTTTGTTCCATTTCAGGGCAAATATTGGACCTTTATGTTGACCTAAGGTGCTTGCAAGGTTACCTGGAATAAAGAAAAGGTTAATATTACAATTTGTTTACAAATTAGCCAAATTACAGTGCACTGCTGGTTGATGCTTAAGAACAATAAAAGTTGTTTGACTTACCGTCGTCTGTCCATATTCTTGCAAAACCATCATACGAGCCTGTAGCCAATAGTGTTCCATCACTCTGTTGGGATATATATAAAATGGCAAAGGTCGAATCCATTTCAACCAACCTTTTTCTTTTATTTTCCTTCTTTTTTAAGGTTTGTGCATTGTGATTTATGGAAAATCTGAGTCCACACATCGAGACAGATTATACTATGATTTAAACTAAAGGTTATTACTGCAAGATAGCAAAGAGGAAATAAACCCCTTTAATGTACTGTGAAATACCAGCCTGTACGATCAGATAAGAGTCATTTAATCAAAAGGATTAGAAAAAGAAAACAAGATATAACAAATTCTATGGGATTCTTCCAGATAACAAACAGATAATAGTTCTTAGGCATAAAGAACCTATAAAACACCAACAGATCATCTAAATCCTGACTAAATCCAGCTCAGTGAAATTCAGGCACTTACACGTGAAAAAAAGGACGTAAACACTTAAGTCACCTACACTCATGTTTGACACCTGGAATGCTATCAACCACCAAGATTCCCAAATTGCTTCCTACTTGTCCAAACACAGACTCCCAAACATGCTCAGAGGCACAGTATAGGATAGCTACAGATGGATAGCCTGAGAAAAGTTGGATTCATGGGTCCCAATTAGGAGAAAAAAAGCCCAGGAACGGTAATCAGCAAATTGCATGTGTTCTGCTGGAGGGAGGCCTTCACTGAAGGGTATCTTCTGTGCAGCCAACGATGCTAGAGTTACTGGGCCAGAAGTAGAATAATCAGAAAGGAACTTGACCATGCAATTTGGTGAGATGGGTACTGTTGGAGCTGGGCGTTTAGTCTTTAAACATTTTAGCACTTGGATCAGGAGTGAGATTCACCCCACTTACCTCCAGACATCCAGAATTCAGGAGAGTAACCTAGTCTCCCTCTATAACTAACAGCATCACTCACTTCTGGAGTGTGATTTATGATCCCATTTGCTTTAGACTCTACTCAGACCAGCACAAAGGCACATGTCTCTTGTTTCTGCTGACTTAGAGGGAGTCTATATGACTAATTTAGATGGTTAAATCTAAGGGAGATGAATCCTACCCTTGGCACCAAAGGAAACGATCTGAATAGGGCCTCTAGAAATAACCTTTCTTATTGTACCATAAATCACATAAACCAGAGAAGAACCGATTTAATATCACCAGTGTGAAAATTTCACAGTGAAATATGATTAATATTGTGGTTCTAAATAAACAATAAAGGCAGATGGCATTTCTAGCATCATGAATAGGAATTTAGGAACAAGCATAAAATAATCCTTTAAAACATATGTCCACTCCAACCTCCCAAAAACAGTGAGTCAGAGCAGTTGTAGATTTAACTCTAATGTATAATGATGTAGGGGGAAAAATATAAAAATCTAAGCCAACTTCACTGTGATATACAGTTATATGGACCACTGATGAGAACAAAGGTGGTGAGAGCAAAAAAAAAAAGAAAAGGGAAGGAAAGCTCAGGGACTAGATGTACAGTTTATCCAAATTTGTTGGTGGTAATTCACATCCTTTGGAAAACTCGAAGTATACTGGAAGCACTTCAAGAGTTTAAATTAGAAACACTTCCTTACATTAAGTACTAGCACAATCTAAGTGAAGTATTAGTGATCAATGAAGTCTGGAAAGGTATGGAACTACTATAGGAAATACCAGATGATACACTTTATGTTTTGGACAACTTTTCTCATAACTGTTCTGCACCTTTGCATGCTTTCATCTTTCAACTACTCTTTTCTTACTCCTCAATTCAGTTCTTCCCAACTATTTTTCTTCTCTGTGGTATCCACAAGAAACAAGTAATGAACATTCTTGGGTTTTATCTTTATTTGCTTTGTTAACCTACCTCTGTGTTCTGTACTATCCACCAACTTCTTTCATTGTGTCAAATATAAAATACGTAGGGGAAGCTGATTTGTGCACTGGCCTTATCTTTTACTTTTGTGGAGCACCTAGCTCATCTGAAGGACAATAATTGCAGTAAAGATTAAGCAAATCTTGATCTCTGGCCAGCAACTGAGACTGTATGCAATTGCTGAGAATCCTTTTTGGTACTTAATTTTTAAACTGTTTTGCTATGAAAACAAGACTAATGTGATCACTCTGTCTGTACTAGTATCAGCAAAACAGAATACAAGTGATCTCAAAATTAGTTAAGGTTCTTGCAAGGTCTTTAAGTTCTTTTTACAGTGCTTGGTGGCAGAAGGGAGACATGAGGCAGCCTTAAAGCTGCCCAAAGATACTGGCCAGACACACAGCAATACCTGTCCTCTCTGCTCACTTCAATCTTCTCTATGCAGGACCATATTATCTAAGACAGAAGGTTTTGCAGGAGGAAAGTAAAAAAGGGATCAGGCAAGACAGTTCCACCCAGAAGGTGGGTGGGTAAAGAGAGAATGACCACACATGCTCCTACCAAGATAAAGACAATAATGTGAACATGTTGTGCTATGCACAGCGTAATTCAAATGAGAGCGTGTCTTGATAGTCCAACTTCAGAAAAAGCTTCACTGGTGCTTACATCTCCTTACAAGCCAAAATAAAGTAGCTATGAGATGCAAATACATTATTAATCAGGCTTCATTACTACATAGATTGTTTTTTTAATCTTCATTGTTAAAGCTAGCTAAGTTTATTTTTGCCCATGCTCCTAAAATAGAGATACAAATACATCATTATGAAGATTGAAGATGGCAACAGTCCTGGAAAATTATAGCATATGAGGGAAAGTTAAGCCTATTATCAGTATTTGAAACAGGAGGTCAGTAGGTTAGGACAGAGCTTCTGGTCACCTCAGATATAAAAGATACAGAGCAGCAGCTGTAACTGCCTCTGAATTAAATTTAGATAGTTAAAAACCATGCACAGTCTTAGAAGCTAGCTTACATTCCAATCCAATGAAGTCACATCCTTATTGCTGGGGACATCATGTCCTCCTTCTCTTATGCAGTGCCTCAAAACCAGTTGAGTGGAACCGCTGTTGCTGTTTTCATTGAGATTCCATATTCTGGCCGTTGAGTCTCCAGATCTATAAAAGCAATTGTGCAGAGATGAAAACTCCTCTTAGTGTCGACCCAGCAAACAATGTAAAAGCTGTTTTCACTGAGAGAACATCACAAGCTTTAAAAAGTAATTTTTCTTTCCTTCCTGCACTCCGTATACTTTTTAACATATTTAAATTATACGTATCACCTGAGTCCCCATCATCGTTTGCTTTATTCAGAAAAGTTTTACCTAAAGTACATTTGCTCGCTCTCTACATTTGGCACTTCAGACCTAAAGCTGCTACCACCATAACCCAGACCGCCCGGGGGAACTCAGCATTGCCAAGGTAGCACCGTGGAGATCCCAATACGGATGGAAACGCAAAGGCTGCGCTCGCGTGCCTCCCACAAAGAGCGTGCACAGTCCCAGCAGCTCCCAGGGGGTCACTGGTCCCCGGCGCTCCCCCGGAGGCGCAGCGGGCTCTGGGCACAGCGTGACGGGACCTGGGGGTCACCCCTGCCGAGGGGCCAGTGCCACCCTGGCAGCAGCCTCGGGGAAGGGCACCTCCAGCTGCGTGACGAAGGTGCTGCGGTGCCGGCTCCCTCCTGCTGCCCCGGCTCCTCTGACAGACACTGCAGGAGCAGGAGGTGAACTGAAGGCTGCCTTTAATTTGGCCATGGCCCTTTCATAAGGCTCTTCTGTTCAGGACAGACCAGAACACACCCTCTGGCTGAAGCTGTTCGCAAAACAGCCTCTCGGCGTTAAACCAAGCTACACAATCTAATGATTAGGAAAGAAGAAGCGTAGACAAAGACAGAATCAGGGTTTTGATTTATTTCATAGACCAAACATTTTCTAGGGAGATGTTTCACTGCAAGCTGAAATCCTGATTTTGTCTAGAAAAAGTTGTGAGGAGGAAGCGAAGAGTCTATCATAGTCTGCTTGTAAATAATGTATTTATTTTCACTTTGCATAAATCCTTCTTCCAACGAAAAACGTTTCTGAGGTCAGAAATCAATTTGCAGTGGGGTGGAAGATATTATGCATTTTAACTTACTGGGACTTATTTAATCGCTCCCGCCCCCTGCTTTTTTTTCCAAACAATCAATAACAACCACCACCAAAACAATCAAAGTACCCTGGATTGCTTCTTTTGTCCAGAGGGTAATTTTCATTTACATGCAGTAAGTAGAATCTTGGAGCAGAATTAGGATCTCTCTTATATTTCCAAGAATTCGTACAGTTTAGATGAAATTTCGTTGTTGATATACCTTACGTGTTAGCTTTTCCTTTTTTTAAAGGAATGACTAAAACTTAATTTCTTATACACTAACAAGGAGAAAAGGTCTTTCTTTGAAGACTGAAAACCTGAGATCCATTTTTGCTTTGATAAGCCATGTTTTACTGAGAGCGAAGTCCATAGCAAGAGAATATTAGATTTTCGTCTGGTCTACTAATAAAACATTTTTATTATTTATACTAAAACTACAGGGCAAATTTCAAACATTTGGTATGTCTTTGAGTGCAAATATTGACCAATCAGGAATTAAACTTGACTGACCTTTGTGTATTATTTTACCAATAATTTAGCCAAATTTTACATGAGCGACAGTTCAACTGTAAAAGCAAAAACCTCTCTGCTTGTATCAGTGGCTCTGAGCTCTGCTGGGTCACGGCATGCCTGGGGAACGTGTCCCCATCTCCTCCGAAGCCCCTGTGCCAAGCTTGGATATGATGGCTGGCCAGGGCTTTGCCAGCCTAACCACAAGCTACTGCTCTACAGCTATTCTTTAATTTTTGGCACATATCTTACATGTTAGTGATTAAGAAATAATTCGAATGAGGAGAATTTTTGCCACCATGCAGAGCTGTGACTGTAACATAACTATTTCTTCAGAGGTCTGGAAAACTGAACAACAGTTTTGCATAATTTGGCTAGAAAATTAATGAAGTTATTCATGAGGCTCAGAAGTTAAGGAACAGTTTTAGTTGTGATGATTTAAAATAATGGGAACATAAGTCCTTCACAGGCTTAAGTTATTGGTTAACATGTTAAGAAGGAAATTCCTTCAGTGCTGGCTTCTCTGCTATGTAAGACTCCGAGCCAGTCCTGCCCTCGTTGTAAAAATCCAGTTTGTTATTGGATCCTGTGAATAAAGTACTCAGTCACTTGGCTATCAAACTCAATATCCTATTTGCTAGTTCTAAAAGGGTTGTGTTTTGTTTTTCAACAGTTTTATTTAGTCAGTTTTCTGGCAATGCTTGGGCAATCTTATTTTCCAGTATTTTAATTTTGTTTTTCCATTTTCTTCTTCCTAAGGCTACATAAGCTATTATGTGTCCCTGCAGAGAGGTTTTATAAGCCTACCAGTGTGTGGCAGGGGATATTTGTGTGTCTTCCCTTTTGTTGCTGGGAAAAAAAAAAAAAGGAGTATTCTCTGCTCTGGAAAGTATTCTGATTTCTGCTGAATGATTCAGTGAACCCTGCCTTATTAGAGGACCATAGTTCAAGCACAATTCAGAAAGATATTTAATCTCCTTAGCCCACAGAAGCATTTCTATCTGCATGATAAAGCAGCTCATTCCAACATGCAAGTCATGAACACTTGAGTAATAGGTATACTGTTCTGCACTATGGTAGAGTACTGCCAAATTTTAGGAAGGCTAGTTCTGAAATAATTTTATTTCATGTTCTTCAGCCCTGGTATAATCATGAATCAAGGTGGACAAATGTTTGCAGAATTTTATTTGTGACATATAAAATCTCCATTCCGTAACTGTCAGCACAGAGGTTAACACAGCTGCAGTTGGGTAAAAAAATCTGCAATACGGTTGTTGAACCTTGGTATTTCTAATCCTCAGCTGCAAGTCTTAAAATCACTGTTACTTTGATGTGCACTATTGTTAGAGTGTATTTAATACTTTTGGCTCAAACAGGTTAGATCTTTTATTATTTTATTTTAGAAAGAGATTATTAAAAGCATAAAGGGAAGGAAACTCCTCCTCATAATTCACACATCTAACTTTTCCTTAATAAAGCAGATCTCTTAAAGTAAGTGCTTACACTTCCTAGGGGGTCAGCAGAGGGAAGTATCTCGGAGGTCTTCAGAGGGAGGTCTCTTACCCACTGATTCTACAGCATTACTCCCTGCAACAGCTTATTCATGTAGACCTCACCTCAGAGCTGACCACTTTGCATTAATGGATTTGATGCAATGTGAAAACTGGTCCAAATAAAGTCACCTGCTAATGAATAAGCACTTACAGTCAGCAGAACTAACACCTGGCACTGACTAGGATTATTCAGAAAGGTAATTCACAGTGGATCCTAAACCACTGGAATCAAACCACTTGTGAGGAATACAGCAACTCACAGTATTATATAAAACCAAGAGATGATGACAGAATGTGTTGGTTTTGGCTGAAAAAAAAACATCCTAGAAACCTAGAAAAATTCTTTTGGCCCAGAAACATCCTTTCTTGCTTCTGAGACACACAGCCATAACTGAACGATCTTGGAGAACAGCTTTTATGGCTAATTATTTTGCTGACTAGGGAGAGCAAAGGTGCACAGAGCGCTCTGCAAGAGGCAAAGTTCCCCTGTGTGAAAGAGGCTGGTATAGATCAGCAAAGATAAGCAAAGAAACCTACTGTTGGGTTTGGGGAATGAGGTCAGGTCCCTCTGCTTCACGGCTACGAGAAATACCTGAAGGGCATGGCTGGATGTAACAGAACAGAACACGCTCTCAGAAGCAGCAGTTGAACATGCTGACAGAAACGTCCTAAATTAAACTGGAAAAACTTCTGGAGTTCAAGGCTCTAGCAGCCTTGACATTAGCAGTCCATCCACTTCTATACTGGGAAATTCAAGCACGTTCAGGAACGCTCTGGGTCACCGGACCATGATGACCTATGCTAGCAAACTGACAGGTTATTCCCTGGCCAGATTTTGGCCTGTTTTAATTATCACTCTTGCTCAGGGCTCTGACTTTCTCTCTGAATAACTCCTGGGCATGGTTTGGTGGTTACAACGTCCAGAGATGATTCCCAATGTGCAGTTTATTTGGCAGCCAGGACAGTTTGCTAGCACAGACACTGGCCATTCTGTGCCAGTTGGACTTCAGTGCCTAGGAATATTCCCAGGCACGGTTAGTTTACTAATGTGGATGTAGCTGTAATGGGTTTCTGAACTACTCAGGGAACATAACCATCTGTAACAATTTACGTGTGTCATAAAATTAAAATTTAGATATTGAAAGATATCTCATGGAATAAATCAGTCTTTGAAGAGGAGGACAATAGGCTTTTAAGAGCAAAATTGTAACTATGGACTGAAATGGCCAAATCCTGAGATTTAGCCAAGCACCTATTTTTTTTTTTTTTTCACCTGTTCAAAACATCTAAGCATTCTTCTCATATGTATCTGGTGACAGTCAGGCCTTTGATAGCCTTTACTGGTATCTCTAGTTTCCTCCATCCTCCACTTTCAGGGTTATGGGTGTGGTGGAGGAGAAAGAGCAGCTGCAGAAAATGTTATGACTGGCTATTTGGTTAGAGGAATTCCTGTCTCCACTGTTTTTTTTTTTTTTTTTTTTTTTTTTTTAATGGCCTTTTGGAAAGTCTAGAGAGTATATATTCCTGTGCTAGCCTTCACACCCTAAAATATCATAGCAATTGAGTATACGGGACATCAAATATCAAAATCCCTTTCGATCAGTGGGATATGCAGTAAATCTGGAAAACAGTGCTCTAGTTTTGGGTAATTCATTCTACAAACAAATCCCCTTACACAGCTTGCTTCAGATTAGGTTATGAACCTGCACTATTCTTTTACTGCTTTGGAAATTACACCAGGTTGCTGTCTAAACTGCTGCTAATTGTTAGAAAAATTTATTGCTTGTATGACAAGACTTGAAGAAAATACTTTGCCATGAATTGACATTCAATTGTGCTAGGCACTTCATAAACAGAAAAACTATGTTATTTCCTTTATTTAATAGTTAGGTTTTAATATGTATTTTTTAAGAAGACAACAGTGGGTACAATCAGGCAGACAGGAAACCAGAAGAAAACTACGGACTGGGCAGCACAATATGGCTATTAGAGAATCTAACAATTCAGTGTTTGCACATCAAACTAACTGCATTTTTCTATTTTGAAGCATTACTTTGTAAAGGACAAACAGAACTGCAGCATGCAGTAGATCCCGGGGAACTTCTCCCCCTTGCTTAATTGGTGCCGTAAGACACAGTTTAACGGTAGATGATAGCTTGCACTATTATTATACCAGACACCTCAAATGCTTCTTTGTGCAGTGGCATGATCAGTCACTCAGCTCTCTTCCTCTGGCTTCATTTTCTTTTGTGCATTTTATGCTGTTTCAGTCATGTAAGCTTCATCAGGCACTCACTGCTCCATTACCTGAAGGCTACTGCATCATATACTTTGTCTCTTATCAGCAGGTTAAAATCTGATCAAAATGCACATGGATCTGAATTATTTGCATCTTCACTGCACTGTTATTAGTCTGCATGAGACACAACACCTGACTGTACTTTCTAACCATGCATGAATTTATGTGCTTCCAAAATCAGTAGCAAAGCTTATTAAGAAAGACCTATTACACTGCAGGGTAAAGCTTAATTGAAGGGACAGTGAGAAGGTATTCCCCTACCTTAGACATCTGACTAATGGTTCTGATTATCATTCTCCAGGTTCACCTGAAGCTGTGTAAGCTATCACTGTCCCAGGGATCCATCTACCAGTGCTCATCACCCAGCAGCAAAGCGAAACACCCACTGGTTCCTCAGTTACTGCAGTAGAGACTCTGGTTTATTAAATGTTCCACTGTTTAAGCTATGCACACCAGGACTGTGAACCCCAGATCCTAGGGAAGCAGCCCAGTATGGTAAGCACTGGCAGAGGGGCGAGTCAGATACCGGGAAGTAGTTACCAGTGCTAAAGCCAACAGATGAGGTCTCAGCACCTCTACGTCGGAGACTTAACTCCCTATGTAATGAGTTGAGAGATGTAGGTACCTGCAGAGGGACAGAGCACTTGAGTAGACGCCTAATTTCAGCTGTGCAGATATTCTCCAGAATAAAGCAGCATCTTCACTTCATCTCAGGAGCCACCAGGTGTCCCTAAAGAATAATTCTGTATGGTATCCTTTCTCCCCAAGGATTTTCCTTTAGGGTAATACTGTGGGTGTGCTAACTGATCACGTGCACACTGTTCTCCATAGAATTCAAATAAATGCTATAATGGGTAAGTTTACTACTAAAAAGTATATTGTTTAGGACGACAGGGCTCAAGGAGATCTAGTGTTTCAACAAACACAGTCCCTTCATTTGAATGATCCTAAGTATGAGAGTGACTGATCTCAAAACAGCCCAAAAAATTCTAATTAAGTTTGTCCCCACTACAGGAAAGCTCTTCCAGCTTTTGTGAAACCTTCTCTAGATTTTCATCTTTTATGCGAGACGGCCATGAAAACAATCTAGGTTAACTAGATTCTTCTTAGTTTTTGAGGTTTTCTTCACTATTAGGCCATGATTTAACAACTATGGGTAGTCAAAGCATTTAGGCATACACTGAAAAGTTAGAGGAGTAGTACAGGGGTGTGTTTGTTCAAGATCATTTGATGTTGACTTACAAATCATTATGTAGACAGTAACATTTCCTGTACGTCACAGATTCTTTGCTTTCCCTTAATTCACTTATTTTTCTTTGAAAATATCCTCTCAGATTTGGGCTGGGACAATTAAGGAATATCATATGCTACAGTTGTTCCACATCTACCAATCCTATTTATTTATTTATTTATTTATTTATTTAGTAATTATTTTTTATGGCTCACTCAACTGTATGCTGAAAAATGTGTGTGAAATAACTGTTTTATACTTGCCTGTATTAACTGGAGCCTGACCTTAATGATCAGGACTTCCCTTCTTAATAATAATTATTTGCTAGGGATATGTAACACTGCCAAGCAATATTGCCTGAGACACTAGAAAACTGAGTGGGTAGAGGAATATGGTTAGCAGAAAATACAGCAGATGTATGGCATAGGAGTGGGGCTGATATTACTGCTCTTCTCTGTACCATGGCATCATCCAGGGACCCTATCACAAACCAGAAGACCCACTGAGCCTACGGAAAAAAACAGCTGAAAACCAAAGTTTTTAATCTAAAAACTCTACATACAGATCTAGCAAATTCTACCACTATATCAATTTAAAATTAATAAATGAACATACTTAATACTACAGATGCTATTGGGCTTGGACGTCCCAGAAACAAAGCATATTCAGTAGGATTCTGTTTTCTAAAAATCCAGTTAGTTGCATGAAATTTTTCTTCGGCAACTTCTGTCTTCACTTTCTTAGATCTCCTGCGTTGTTTATCTAACCTGGTATTTATACTTCCTATTTATTCTTTCCTATTTGCACTCTAATTTCTTGTTTTCATGTATTAAGTCAACAAAGATAAGAAGACTATGCTCATGATCTTGCAAGAAGCTGGAAATAAAATAAGGACTCTCCTCTTCCTTGTAAGAAATGTGTTCTGATACTGCTAAGCAACTTTAAGTGCTGAAGACCCATTTATGTCTTCTAACTTCTATCAGTTTTCCGCCACATTTCCAGATAGACTTCTTAATTTTAGCCTTCATTTTAAGGTTTTACGTTAAGCATGAACAAACACAGATTCTAACAGTGTCTGTATGTAGCTCTTGGGGTATGTTTACATTAGCATTTTTGTTTGTATCAAAAGCACTTTTTGTAAGTCAGTCTCCTGATTGTCCCACTTACCAGGCTTGGTTGTGATTCCTGAGCAGCCCTGCAGAACACAAACTAGACTCCTTTCCAAAGACACTAAACCAAAACACACCCTCAAACCACTCCGCAATGTTCAGCTCATTGGACAAAACTAGGTCCAGCCTGATGCCCCTCTATCCCATACAAACAATGGTGACGTAAGGTCCTCACAAAACAGTTTTGCTCTACAGATCTACTCCTGGTTGTGTACCAAGCTAATGCAGACATAGACAAAGAAAATTCTGGCTTAGAGTCGCCATACTTTCAAAAAGAAAACACGGATGCCAAAGACTTTCTGAGATCCCGATGTGAACCGTTAACCAAGAGCAGTAGGAGTAGAATACATGAACTTCAAGTACTCTGAAAATTATCCATAGTTATTTTAAAAATCCTTACAAAAAAAATAATGTGTATTCACAGCCACAGAGTGGCACATCTTAAATGTGCAAATGCTTCATATTCTGTGTCACCTTATAATTACTTAACTGCTACATAGGTGCAGCACTCCTGAAAAAAACAGTTGCAGGCTGAAAAAACAGTGAAGAGAACACTCATTCATCTCTAGTATACACTCCCAGGTTCTTGCATCTCTAAATACATTGTAATTGCAGCAGCTGGTTTCAGTCATGGTCATACCCGGATGCTAGCAGGTCACCCACAGGGTTCCAGGCACAGATGAACACCTCTGATTCATGGCCGCGAAGGACTGTCGCTTTGTTAGGAGGAATTTCAACATCCCCATCAATTTCCATTGGCTTTGAATGATTATCTGTAAGGAGATATACCAGAACAAGTAGTTAACAAGAAGCTGTTACGTCTGCTTTAAAAACAAGCTGGCTACCCATGGCCTAAATGTTACAGCAACATATAGACTGTAAATAATATTCTGTGTTGTGTCAATGATCACATTACTCTATTTTTTCCCTATCATGATTCAAATTTATGATATTTCTTCAAAATGTAGAGCTTTCCAAAATATTTTCTACAAATGCACATGGCTTTTCTTCCAAAAAATAGTTACCATTTATTTCAGTGTAAGTGTTTTTTGAAGCTGGATTCATTAAAAATGACTTAGAGATTTACTGCAATAGCAGATGGCCCAAATTGAGAAAACCTTTATGCTACTCTTAGAAAAGTAACATACATCTTCTTACACAGTGTCATGTAAGTAATATGTGTGCTACTCACAGATGAAGAATACACCAAGTAAGGACCTCGTTCCCTGAGCATGGCAGGGAAATGGTGAGTGACCACCTTCTCAAGGGTATCATAATATATGCAAAGGTACCAGCTGAGGCATAGATACACTTGACGTGCATGCTGTAATTCTGGGGTTCTTTAGACTGCAGTCTAAGTAACTTTGTTTTCTAAAGCTCTTATATTTCCTTAAGGAAAAAGAGTGAATTTAAAATGATGAATTTCTCTTAGCAGCAGCAATTCATTCCAATTTGCATCATGAACAATGTTTTTACTCCAGATTTTCATTGCTTCAGTATAAATCTTCCCTCATTCAGCTCAAACCACACTTCCTGGCAGCAACACAAGCTTATTATCCCCTGTGAACAAGACAACAACCAAGGACAGGTAACACACCGACTCGGCAGACAGCCGATGCCACGCGCAGAGATGTGGCCCATTTCACAGAAAGCACATCCGAGAGCAGACAGCTGGCAGCCTGGGGCAAGGGCAGCCTCCTGTTCCCTAATCAATGCCTTGGCCAGCTGATCTGCTCTGACTGATCAAAATGCAAGCTCTCTTTCTGGATTAAGTCTTTTAGTTAGCCATTCTTTAATCACATATGGAGATCCATAGGTTCGCAATTGGAATAATTATGCTCCTTTACTGCCACATGTTTATGGCGTTTAAAATCAGCCATCTGTCCTGATACTCAAGCTCTGCTGAGCTATTGTGCCCATTGACTGGCAAAACAGACCGTGACGTTGCACAACTGCCATTGGAAAGAAGATCTCCATATTTCTACCCTTCATCCAGGCTTTCAAATATCCTGTTTTGCTCTGCCTGGTTTATGCGAGTCAACCAAGTAGCACCTCTCATTGCATGTTTGGTTAGGTACCATATTAACCATGCCTGTGCCATATCTACAGTATGGATGGAATGAAATTCACATGTAATTCAGTAAGTTGCATAGCAATGAGTAACAAAATTAGAAAACAACTAACAGTAGTTTCACAGCTCACATTTCTAATTCAAAATATCTGTATTTTTATCTATACTTAGTATCTATGGACTTGCATAAAACTAAACATATTACAAATGCCTGTTTGTAAAATCTACATTTATGCTGAGTCCCTATGTTAAGCATTGTCCTTGATAATTCTCTGTGTGTAGTATAACTACTAAAATTAATACCATCAAGATAGGATATTGTGAGCAATCAGGGCAACGAAGAGCAAAGCACTACTAAAATCCACCAGAAGATAGAAGTCTAGAACATGAAATCCTCTTGTTTCTCAGCACAGCACAGAATTACCAGGTTTAAAGCATATTTTCATGAGAAAAACAGCAGCATGGTAATGGCTGTGCATTCATCTGTGTCCTACACACAGTGTGAGTTGGAAGCTGGGGGTAAATCAAGAAGATCTTTCAAGTGTTTTAATTTGAAAAATTTAAATGAGATGCTACTCTTACCACATATGATACTATTGTTACCTGCCTGGCTCTAAAGGCAGAGATGCTTTTCACTCTCGAATAAAACCAAATGACAGCTTGGAAGCAGCATTACTCCAGGGTCCCAGAGTCATCAGGTGCTATCAGAGCAAGGCCATCTGATACTCAGGAATATTTTTCTCTTGTACACGGCCAGATGGAGTAATCTAGATACACACTTTGAATGTTATTAGCTGCTGTGGAAAACCCCCCACAAATAGTCATGCTGTGAAAAAGAAACCTTCATCAGCTGATACCTGCATCAGTACATGCAAGACTGGCCTGTGGGAGCAATGAAATACCTGCAGGATTACTTTCTACTGTCTTCCAGTAAGGATTCTGACACTACAGATTTGGTAGTTCAGGAGAAAAGGGAGGGAAGAATGAGGAGTCTTTCAGAAATAGTTCACAAATGTTCACGTTATATATGTTTTCTTCCTATTTTCATCAGTAGTCAGGAACAGTAGTCAGGAGTGTTATTGTTAAGCATAAAACTTAAAATGCCCCATTAAACAAAGAGGACAGTTCATGCTTCTGCAATACTGCTTCAGGTTCCTCTCAGATTCAGACAGACACTAGCAATATAAAAGGCATACGATTGTAGTAACAACAAACAATTGCACAAACCCCTGAGCACAAGACGGCACCCTTGTAAGAGTGCTAAGTTCCTTATATAGCATGAGCTCTTGTAAGCCCTGGTCTCATCTGAAAATTTGGCTTTCCTGTGGATGCAGCTACAGTGTGGCCATAGAGAACAAGAATAAATAAATAAATAAGAAAGATGCAGTAAGCACCAAGAGTAGGCCTTTTTCTATTTTTTTTTTAAAGTATCTTCAAAGCAGAAAGCTCTTGGTTAAGATCTCATTTGCACAAGGAATGCCTCTGAGGGGGTCTCTGAAAGAGAGGGCAGTTCTACCAAGTGCAACAGACCCTTGTAGGTGAAAAACTTAAGTCTGCAGGTCACATAGTGAAGGACTCTCCCCAGATGTCAACACAAATCATTTTCTAAAGGCCAGAGTCTGGTTCAGCTGGTTAAGTCTATGCTATATTCTTCTAATTTTTTCCCTCAAAGTATTAAAAATCCCAAATCACTGGAAAGTAAAAGTCATATTTCCCCAAAATATTATGATTAAGTTTTTTAAAAAAATAAATTCTAACATACCAGCAAGTAATATTAACTCTCTTTCTACTTCCTCCAAATTAAAGAAGATATATTTTTAAGATCTTAGCAGTGCTAGCCCTGTCTTTTCTCAGGAAATGTGTTTTTTTACTTAAATCTTTGACAGGCCTTTCACTGAAGTTATTCTTTATGGCTGTAGTTATAATAAAGAAACTGGGCTCAGTCTTCTTTCCAGAGCTTTATTTTTCTTAAACCCAAGCCAATCCTTGCAAATATAATGAAACAAACGACACCAAAAATATTTGAGTTGGAAAACAATCCAAAGTTTGGCTCCATTTCTACATGCCTATTTTTATTTTTTCTACTAATTTTTAAAGTGACTCAAAGCTGAAAACATTACTCAGGAAACAGCAGGAGAAAGTAGCAATTTTATTTATTTAATATTTGAATCTGCCCCTCAAACTGTTATTGTTAGATTTTTTCCCGTCTCTTCCCTTTCTTAAATCAAATCATCCTATCATATGATATTGATAACATCACATACAAAAATATACCATATTATATTAAATATATTAAGGGGTTTTGGGGAAGACTTACAGTGTCAGGGAGAACTCTGTATCAGAATAAATGCAAACCAGGTAACTTCCCAAAGACGTCTCTCTCACCAGCATCCCCCATCCCGCCTCTCTATGGCAGGTTGATATATGGGTGACCCCCAGGTTATGGCTAAGGCTTCGCACACTATCCAAACCCATCCCAGTATATGCCAGTTCTGCGGAATCCAACAACAGTGAAAATGACGACTTGGGAATTTTTTCACACCTCCCATATCAGCAGTCTGTTCTACCCAGCCGGCCTCACCTTACCCATCTTACATCCTATCCTAAATTTTGGTACTATTTATCCTAAACCTTTTGTCCCTACCTAAGACATTTTACATCCTGTCCTAAATTTTTATCCAGTCCTATCCTAAGCCTTTTGTCCTAAGCTAAGTTCTTGCCAGATCTTTTGCCTTAGTCCATCCTAGACTAAACAGACTCTCTGAACGCAGCGGTAAGGGAAAAGGTAAGGCTGGATATACCGTTTGCCCTGCATAAGCAATGAGAAGGAAGGGTAAGACCCTTATGCGACTTCATTAATGTAACTCTATTTTTCTAACTTCGCCACGAGAGGGAAATACTATTGTAAGAGTGATAGTCAGACCCATGCAGTGAACTGCCAGCTAGACTTGTTAGTCTTTATTTCTAGTGGTTTCTAATAATTACGGAGGAAGATACCTTGGAGTTTATTTAAACAGGTCTATTCAAGGGTGCGAATGCCAGTTTTGCAGTTCTGTGTGCAACTCCCATGTATTATCCTCATCTGCAGTTGTGCTCCACCACCTTGCTGATATCCCCCAAAAGCCTCAGACAGAAAGGTTATAGCCCTTCCAAGCTGAGGGAGGCATGCAGATCAGAGTTGGCTGCCGCTGGATTTATCTGCAGCTTCTCTCCAAAGCCTCCTTCTCCTTAAATTACTTAAAGAGCTCACCTCTTCACCTGGGATGACCAACTGGCACAACAGCAGCTGCCAACAACACATGCCAGCTGGCCAGCTACTCCTCAAGGACCTTCTGTCTTCCCATTGCCACTGCTCAGTTAACCAGCCTGCCTAGTAGGCTGCCTGGCCACAGTAATGCTTCGAAACTTGCTGTCTGGTAGAATATATCATTGGTTGACACGTATCCTACCTCTGTGAAATTCTACTGGACAACATAGTGTCATGGTCTTGCATCCTGCTGTGGACAGAGCTATGGATGTTATTAAGTCATACAGGTCTCCTCCTTCTCAGCGCTTCAAGAAAGGTCTGCAACTGTTTGTGAAAATCCTTCCATTAAAAATTGCTGTGAGAATTATAATATTTTAACAATAAAATGGCAGATCTGAGAAATCAAGGCTTAGAGTGTGGTCATACATCTGAACTGATCTGCAAGGCTTTCCTTTTATTAATACAATATTAAGTGTGTTTTTTCAGATCAGAAGGAAGTAAGTGTGAGTGGTTCTGTATTAGTGATGAACTGATAATCAGTTTTCTACCTTAAGAATTTGGTTTTTTTTTGGTTCTGAAACAGGAAGACATTCCTGCTTCAAAAGTTTCACAGATTAGCTGACAGAAAGTGTCAACAAACAAAATGTCAGCATTTGACACATTTAAAAGAGGTTTCATTTCTGTTTCTACCCCTTCACATGTGAAAAAGTTCAATTTCAAAACAAAGGGTCATTTGGAAGTAAAGCATAAGCACAATCCATAGTCTAAAAACAGATTAATATTTTCAAATTTTGCAGAACTTTTAAAAAATTGCTTTCTCAAATCAAAAATGTAATTTAAATCATTGCAGTTTTATTGAGGCAAACTATCCTGTCTAACCGGAATTCACTGAAGACAAACCTGGTTTAAAAGCATTTTTCTCACTGACCCATAGAGGAATCTATTCAGATCAAAGAGAAGATGGAGACTGATAAAGGTATCTACACTGCAGAACAAATAAAACCTGTTACATGACCACAGTCCTGACCTGTTACTTGTCTAAGCTGAAGAGTTGTTGGGGGTTTCCTACAAAACCTGCCATGCATGTTCCTCTAGAATTTCCTCAGAAAGCAACGGGGCATTAAGGTCTCATTTCAGAAGTTAGTCAGTGCCCTAGTATGGCTTGCACACAGAAACTGGGACCATTAATCGTATCTGCCCCACAATGTTAACACAGTCACCAAGATCTAGTTACACAAGCTGGTATGTCCACCCCTTGTTTTATATGTCTGACTTTAGATGTCTGAGATATGAGCACAGTTTCCCAACGTCAAAGGTGAATTCGGAGCCCTTGAGAACTGACTGTTCCCACCGACTACGGAAATCTCGGGAAGGTAGGACCTGCAGTTAGATATCTGCTGTGGAATGTATGACTAAGCATGTGCTGTTAAATAAAAAGGTGAGGAACTCTTTCCTCTATGCCTTCAAGACAGGTTGGCTGCATCCAAGCTGTCTGCTGGGAACAGTCCTTGGCACATGTGACTCCCTATCCTGTGCCTGGCCATGCTCTTCAAGAATGGACAGCTGGTACAGGCCACACTGTGCCAGGCACCATGCCAAGGCTATGGATGATCACAGGAGAGTTAATGCTCAAGGCAAGGCTCTGGCCGTGTGTCATTTACACAGACATGGCTTGTAGGTCCCAGCCTCTCAACACATCTCCCTCCCAGCCTGGCCAAAGTGACCAACCGTGGCTACATCTTGTCCCAACTTTTATCAAATATCTCAAAGCACCTATAAAGTTGCAATATTAATGAAGTTTGGGTAGCTTGCTCCAAGAAGAGAGCATACAGCTCCACTTCTCGACACTGTCTTCATCTTGCAATTCTGAAGGTATCTACAGTTTTTGGATTCTGAGAGGACAGATGTAAAACACAGCACTGTGACATGAAACACGATTTCTACTTAGCAGTCTTTCCAGAAACACGCCGCCCTCCTGAAATGATCCCCGAGTTCTACCGCCTTGCAGACACCAACCAAGTACCAGCGCATTGCTGAAACTCGAACTGCCCAGCAGTGGGCAAGCAGCTGCATGGGTTGGCTTACTTATTGCATGTGCCCCATTCTCCTCTCCATTCACAGTGGCTTCTCCGTTCTTTGGTGTGTTCTGCTGGGAAACAGCAGTCGTCGTTGCTCCCGCTGTTGCTGCCGTTGCTGCCGCTGCTGCCGCTGCACTGGCTTGTTGCTGAGCTAGTTTCTCTCTGAATGCTTGCTGCCGGGTCTGAACAACATCAGGCATCACCGCGTCGATCAGAGACAGTGATTCTATTGGCCTGCCGTCAAATACTGTACCATCCTGCAGGGGAAGCGAGCAGAAGTGAAACTGCAAAGTTAGGATATTCACCATTGAGGTCGGCAAAGAGGTAATGATATAAAGAAACAAAACTAGGTTGCGTGAAGACACTGCGCTTTGACTTGACCAGCAGTGCCACATTACCATGGGCTGTCTCTCAGATCCACGATGGTGGTAACCATGTTCCACTCAGAAATCCGTTCGGAAAGTCATTTATTGGAATTTTACAGAAAACTCAGGCATATATAAACTCTTTACAGATGGAAAAAAAAAAAAAATAATGCCGTGGGAAAAAAAAAAAAAGTCCGACTGATGACAGAAAGTTTCCCTTTGTTTTGTATTTGGAAAAAAAGAGTCATGGCTAAAGCCATGAAAAAGGCAAATCGGTTGAATTACTTATCTTCCTGCACTTGCAGGGACATAGGAATGGAAATAGCTGATGAAAAATGAACCCCAGCCAAAACAAGATGTATGCACAAATCCAGTGCTTTCTTCGATAGCGTTCATCAGTCCAGCACCACCAGCTGTAGCTGACTGTATAGGACTGCTTTACCATTGTTTTTCCTTTATTCTGCTAGGTTATGTCATAATAGTTATGGCTTTCATTTTGATTTCTGCAAATTAGGCTTCAGGTTTACCAATCGAGTTAATCTTTAAGGGCTGTTTTTTAAGACTTAATATAGACTCAGGTCAGCAACTGCCATATCTGCTTAGCTTTGCTTCACTTTCACTTTCCTATTATCTTAAATATAGGAAATAGGTTTTAGTAGCCTCCATAAAGTGCCATTTTACTGATCTTCTGAAAACTCCCTTTAATTCTTTGAAATAATCAAGACATAGCAGTGAAAGATTTGTGTTTGAGGAATACCACGTAATATTAGGATATGGATATATGAAGTAGCTGGAAAACAATGTAATTTTCAATAGAAAACAATAACTAAATAAAGAAAAATAGCTGTTTGGTTGACTGGTATCCTTCTGTTGGACTAGTCATTGAATTACCCCTTACAATTACAATATTAAGATAATAAATATTTGTTCCCTAATGGGGAAGAAAAAGGAGGAAAGAGTCATTAGAGAAGAAAAATATAAGCTCTCTTTCTCCTCAACAGTTTTAATGTAAATGTCTCTACCGACATTTATTTGAATCCTGGCTCAAATCCTTGCTACACAATGAAAAAAATGTTTGCCAATGGATTTTGGCATCTTACATTTTTAACTGTAAAACTGCTCACTGGACTATTTCCATAACTGCCCTTTAACAGATCATAAACAATACTTAAATTTTACACACATTAGTTTACAGACTCACTGATTACTTGCCACTCCTAAGTAATACACATAGAGAAGCATATACATAGCCCGTACTGGTGTTCAGACATAGCAGGAATGGTCTTTGCTTTTCTGTAATGTACTTAACAGGATGTATTTGAACAGAATCAAACCATGATGACAGCAACATAAATCTTAATGGACACAACCATTTTTTAGATCATTCTCTCAACTGAGGCCGATTGTGAAGCTAGATGCCCAGGAGCAGACCCCTACATCTGTCGTACGACCTGAACCTATAGGTGCTGCTCATGGCTGAAAGTTTCTAACTGCACAGCTCCAATTTCAGGCACAGGGCAAAATGTTAAGTAGCAGCAAATTGGGACAGATTCCTAACACTGGTTTGTTGTTACAACTGCATCAAAGTGCAGCTTGGCATGAATGTCAAATGTCATTGCCCCAATTAAAAAATAACACATACACAACTCTTAAACACGGTATCGAGTCATAAAAAGAAAACCACACAGAATGTCAGTGATAAAAACAAATGAGCTTCTAAACTATGCATTGCAAAGAACACAACCTTTTCTCTATTTTATATTCCTTTGTTCTCACCCATGCTGTTCATATGCTACATTCAGCTATAGACGAAGAAGCAATAGCTTTTTATATATTAATATTTATTACAGTTCTCTGTCAATTGTGAATACCTGTGGTAAATATTTTGTTATGCAGTACTTGCTTATCTGTCATGCTTCACTCCCACTCGAAACATCACGCCTCTAAGGCTGGCAGGGCAAAAATGCTGCATTTTCCCAAATCCCTCAACAGATCAAGGAGAAGAGAGACACTTTGTGGCTGCTCATACAGTCCCCACAGAAAACCAGTGCTCCAGCCTGGGTCAGGATTTACACCCAACTGCTTCCCCATGTACATGAGAGGACAATGCCTGGTCTTATATATCTAAGCCAAAAGTCACCGAAATCAGACAGAGTCTCTCCGGTGACCTCCGCGAATTTTTGATCAGGCTTCTCATGGCTTGCAAGCAGCGCTGCCTGCAAGCAGGTGTTGGGGAGTGAGGTTTTAACCTACACTGCAGGCTTTTCCTGCCAAATCCTGCTGTGACCTCGAAAACGCAAGACTGTGAACACATATGCATCTTCTTGCTTGCTGCAGGAACCTGTGCACCCCCGGCTTTGTGGGACCGGGGCAGCGGAAACACCATTACTGTCCATTTAAGCAGCGCCAAGGCCTCCATGCCTCAGCTAAAAACTGAAATACTTATCTATCACAGAGCTTTCCAGCTCTCTGCTGGGGGTGGGGCAACGCATGAGGAACAAAATGACTGAGAGACACCGGCGGAGCGGTGGCTTGTGTCCCTCTCCGGGCTGCCGGGACGCGTGGCATGGCGTGGCGTGAGCCGTGGTGGTGGCACTTACTTCGTTGATGCTGATCTCAGCCTCCACATACTGGAGCCCCTTCTGGAGGATGGAGATGAGTGCGGCAGGTGGCACTAGCGTTCCGTTGATGTTGGACTGGCTGATGTGGCTCTCGATACCGAAGGTGAAGGCCGAGTGGGAGAAACCTGAGAGCAGGAAAAGGAAGCCATGACATGAAATCTAAATGCACCAGCCAGATACACCTTCACGGTCTAAAAATAATTCTGCTCCGAGATCTGAGAGACGCTGCTGCGTAAGCAGAAGGAGGTGGGCTGGCTGCATGGAGCCAGGGAGGTTAACCAGAGCCATCCTGGCCACCCTGCCACTGCCCATCCCCCTCCCCTGCACATATAGGGGAAGCTGTATAGAAATGGAAATGCACACAGAGAAAAATAACCAGAGAACTGCACTAACTGAAAACAAAACCAAACACGTAAAAAATAGGAATCACCACAGGGGCAAGTCCAGATAAAAAAAAAGTGCCTCAAACCTTCATTTTCCTTGCTGCATTTCAGTGTTGGTGTTTGCTGAAGTAAATACTTAAATCCCTATCAGCACACAAGTTGTGTAAAATCAAGGCATAGATGCAGCTGACACAGGGGAGCCATTCTCTTATACCAGGGAAGAGATTTCAAATCCTCTGCTCATTTATTGCTGAGTACATTATGACGTGCAGAGCATTGCCATTAAAATGTGAAACAACAGAAAGGCCACTCCTGCAAACCTATTTTCTGAAAGTGAACTGTAATAGCAAGAGTAATAACTGGGATATGCCAAGCAGCAGACGACAAGCCAGTGCGGTGGCCCATCCTTTATCCAGAAGTCTTTCTGTTCCCTCTTTTTGCCATTGTCTGAGAAATAAGGGGTAATGAAGGTGATGGCACTGAAAATTAAAGAATTTTGGTGGACAAATTATAAAGAGCAGTGCCTTAAATGCTGGCTGAAGCTGCTCAAAACTGTTGCTGGGTATGAAGGCGAGTGCTGCAGAGTGACTGTATGTAGGGGCAGATGCGGGAGGGGGAAGGGGGAACAGGATGTAGATATAACTGTAGGAACCCATTTATCACCACACTGTCTCCAGAGCATTAATCTAACATTAAAAGCCTTGGGGAAACCACCCATGCACTGTCTCAAACAGGAAGAGCCCTTGCAGCCTCCACCGACTAGACAAGAAAGAAAAAAAAAAAAAACAGAAAAAAAAAAAAGAAAAAGAAAGCAGCTCTCAAATGAAAATACTTCCGTTAAATATAGCTGTGCCCCTTCCCGTTGTCAACAGTAGTTTCATTTATAGTTTTGTCCGTTAAGGGATTTCCCCCATATCACTGCAATGTCCAATTGTGTGTGGGCTGGAGGACAGGATTTTGGGCTCGCTCCACAGTAATGCTTTCTTTCTCTCTCACTCAAATTGTTTTCAAGATTCTTTTTGCAGCTAGCTCAATTATAATCATAGATAGATAGCAAAAACAAGCTGAGAAACAGAATGCCTCCCACATTTGAAACCGAGGTATGTATTTCTCTGTGATTCTATCCCCCTACACATTTTATTCTGCCCCTGTTTTTCTCCTCTTCCTGGTAATAGCCTTTACCTTCTCCCTTCCCAACCCTATCTTCCCCTACTGGCACTCCCCCAGTTTTGGGTGTGCTTAGGATGCTTTGGACACTTTTTACAAAGTGGCAGGTCCACCTATGAGCAGAATTACGTAGGATTACAAGGCATAAAAATAAAGCACAGGAAAAAACACCTGAAAAACTGCAGTATCATTTATCTAATCCCTGGCCCAATTCTTATCCTGTATTGTTCTTTATGTCCTGGTCTAGTGTATGAGCTGCTGGACCTCCTGCTGCATCCAAAATAGACTGTGAGATCTGCAGGGCAGTGTTATTCCCTTATTAGTTTTGCAGGGCATCTAAGCACATTACTGGGCACCACAGTGAGGAAGAAATCAAGCACTAAGCATACACAGCCTGCATCTGAGAGATCCAGGGCTTGATCACTGAAATCTCTATGTATATATAAAAACATGGCATGCAACAAACTAGAATTAAATAATCAGGTTCCACTTAATTTATATTTATGTGTATTTAAATTAATCAACAATAACAGTAACAATACCTTATTGAAAAGGAATGAACTTTTAATATGCATGATGGATAAATTGGCAAATCTACTTAAGAATGGAAAAGAATGGGAAGATTAAGCTGTTGTCCAGAAGCACTGAGGTTGACTGCTAAAAAAGCCAGCAGCTAGTTTGTGAGTCAGCGGCTCAGAAACCTGCAACATTGTCTCCAACAAAATTGAGAGGATGGCATAAGAATGGCAACCAACAAACATAGATAGAAAATGTAAAAAAGCAGAAGATCATGATGGATCTACAGCAGGCTTAATTTTAACTATGACTTTGTACCTCTCGTTATTGCATTTGGTATCTTGCAGACTCTTTAGTTGGCTGTTGGCACATAACAAGCCCCATCTCTGCCAGCAACCAGACGACTGTGGCACACAGCTAACTTCTTTGTCCAGTACTGAGCTGCCACATCCCCGAAGAGCTACACATCTCACCTCGCTGCAGGTGAGAGAAGGAACTTCTCAGCACAAAACCCAGCTGTGTTATTACAATGAATCTTGTTATTTTACTGTTTCTCTTGATGCTAAGAAACTGTTACCAAAGCACCTGTTAGATGAGAAAACACAAAACTCCTGGCTATGTTGCCACTGAGGAGCAACCTCACTCACAGATCTCCAGCAGTTGTGACAAACTTTCCCAAATTCTTATCTGGTAAGATCCAAATACTGAAAATCAATAGGACAAAACTGCTTAAGTGAGTGCTCTTAGAGACTGTGTTCCTCACCCCTCTTGGAAAAATCCTTCTATACAATTGTAGTTAAAAGAAAAACACACACCACAGAAACAAGTCAACCAGCCCACTGACCGTTAGCTAATTACATCCTGGTTTCTTGTACTACCGTAGCGTTTACTAGGGCTCACATGAAAGTAGACTGATTGTAAAAGTAACACACACAGTTAACAAAATCCTGAATGAAGCTGTACCCACTTCAGGTTTCTGATAACGCTGAGGAATCACTTGAGCTTTGCTTTCATAGTTACCAGATGTCACCAGTTCTCTTCGGGGCTCTGCCCGTGAGAACACTGAATTACATAGCAATGTTGCAGCTCTATAGTTCAGTCTTACAAAAAGGTGATTTCTATTAAAGAAAGGCAAGGGTTTTTTTAAACGTTAGCTTGTGTTACAAATGTTAACTTGGCCCTCCTTCTAAGTCCATGAAACCACATGGGGAAGGCAAAGCCAAGACAGGAGCACCTCCCCCCTCCTCCAGTGACGCTGTGCAGGCTGTCAAGGCAGTTGGGGAGCGAGAGCAGAGACAGAAGGTGCTCTGCAAGCGGGGATTTGAAGAAAGGATGCGGTAGGGATGACATGAAATTACAACAGACCCAAACTCAAAATGCTGTAGCAGCAGTGAAATGAATGAAAGTTGCAAATCTGTGTCCATATGCATTGTATCTCCTAAATTCTGTCATTTCAGTCACTGTAACAAGCATGCTATAAAATAATAATTTCTATTCAAATAGCACCAATAAATGAAATCTTAATGTAGTAAACCTTTTGAGGACACATGCAGCGAGACTATGAGCTTTTAAGGTTAAAGACATGAACACAACAGGCCGAAGGGGAGAGAGCATGACCACACACTGGTTCCACACCAGTGAACGGGACAGTCACTTGTGACGTGACATGACACTGCCCTAAACAGCATCTTTCAGCAGACTCAAAAGGATGGCACCCAGGTTTTTTCTACCTCAAAAAAGATGGGAAAACATAAACCAGCAAATTGTGTATTATCTGTAAATCCATTATCATACATGAAAAAAAATATCCAAATGAACACTGCAGATCTTGGTATGAAGACCTTAAAGGGAGGTGGCCTATCAGCTGTGGAACAGTTGGTCTTGAAAGATTCTGGAGAGCACAGAGGAAATAATGAATGCAGAAAAGATGACTTAAATTACACACCCTCCTAAACCCCCAAATTGTTATGCAAGTGATTTTGACTTGAAAATTGAGTGAAATCCCTCATTGAGAGATTCCTACACTTCTTTGTATTGACAGTGGTAACAGGTCCTGGTTCTCTGCTGTATCTTCTCCCACACCGAGGTGTCTGTATATACTCTCAGTGGTACATACAGAGCCACTTGGGAATTCTTGCCCTAGGCAGTGCCAAAAAATGCATATGTAGGGCTGTGTTTTGAAAAATTTCACTGATAGATTTTGCTGTAACTGCAAAAATGGAGACGATCGAGATTTTTTTTCCCTTGGCTGCTCCTTTTTCAGTTAAAAATGGCCTCCCCTTAAAAGAAGATTTGTCATTGATCACAGAATGACTGACTAGGCTTAATTTAATGAATATAATGCTGCTCTTTGTGTGCTTGTTTGATCTGCAGGCTACATAGTTTTAATTGTTTCTAATATGCCTGGCTCACAGCAGAAATGCCTGTCAAATGTAGGCATAGGAAAGGGCACTGGGCAGCCACGCAGCCCAGGGAATGCCTCGTCTTCTCCAGAAATGTGTCTCACCTCTTCTGGGAGTGAAGGGTTCTTCCTTTTAGGCACACAAGTGGGGTGCTGCTGAGTATTCCCCACGCTAGCTCATCTGGCAATCACAGATCCAGCTAACTGACATTCACTAAGTGCTCCTTTCATTTTCCAGTCCCTTTAGCACTGTAAAAAAGCAGCCTTGTTTAAATTGCAATCTTAAATTGTAACAGCCACAGCACCTACTGCTGAGTTTGTACAGGTGAGGGGAATGACAAAGAGGGCTCTGTGGAAGCAATGACATCTTAAAGTGTTTCAGTCTTCACCGGTTACTCAGGAGTTACCTCGGGGATGCCCTGATTAGCAATAGTTAAGTGATCCGTTGAATACTGTGAAAGTTTCTGTTTGTGAACTAACTGGACTTAGTTTTCCCTAGTAAATCTAACTAGTATACTGTTCAAATAATTTTTAAAAATACAAAATGTAAAATATAAAGATTTTAAAAGTTATTGGCAAATTACTCAGTTTAATTATGCATACTATAAGATTCTTCACTGAAACATTTGTTATTGTAGAATGAAACAGGATAAAGAAT